TACTGGTTTTTCAAGAGTGATTCATCAGACTCGTCAAGAATCTCTAAGGGTCTGCCAAAATTAGGTAATCTTTTTTTCCTGAAAAATAAAGCGGTCAAATGGTGAGGATGACAGATAATGAAAAACGAGCTGCTGTTTTGGGTGGAATGTTACATTTCCATTTCCATTTTATACCATGTATGCTTTTGTATATGACTCTGGGCTCTGAGCTTGTCTAACCCTTTCTAGATCTTGGCTGACTGTATCTGTGGTTTTCCCTTTTCCTCTTTTGTGTTAAACCACCTTTTGGATGCTAGCAGGGATTTCATTAATAATGCTCCTTTGGTGCCTATTTTTGTGGGTGTGTGAGGTCTTGTTTGTTGTTTCTTAGAATCTTCTCCAATGAGAGGGCTCATTTCTCAACTTTAGGAGCTTTATTATTGGCCAACCTACATATCAGTGGATGCCTAGTCAATGATAAGAATTATCATGCATAGAAATGCATCACAACCATATAGCAGATTGCTATATGGTTATGATGAATTGATAAAAAATATAATACGGGTGTTTGGCAGACACCACTGTCAGGTGAGAGAGGCTTAAGCCTCCAATGTTTTAGCAAAGCCTCAAATCATTTTAGTTGTGCTTATAACGTTTTTTTTTTGTCATGAAATATCAAATTCAGAGCAATGATGTCCACAAAGCTGTCTTTTGAACAGAGTGTAAATGCATTTACACTAAGTGTAAAAAAACAATAAATGTGTCATATGAAATAGTTTGTTGCAAATAGCACAAATTTTTGATCACCCTGCTCTGAAAATTTTATGGTTTCGACCCACCACCCCCTCCCTGAAGACAGCTGAGTTTGCATATGTTACACCATAGTATATTCCACTTAAATCCAGTCTAAAACTGCTGTCACAGAGACCTCTAGCTGCAGTGGAAGCTGAGTAACAATGGCTGATATCAGTCCCATTCGCCCTGCCCTTCTCTAACCCCGTGTGCTTCCTATCCAGTGTGATTATATGACATGACCAAAATAGAAATGGAAGGCCTTTAAGATGCTTGGATATTTGGCCATCCAGATGTCCCTGTTTACATGGGGGTGTGAAGTAGCAGGTGTTAACACGTTATTTGTTTATGCAGAGGAAGTGTGTGGCCAGTTCAGGTCTCATCACAAGGTGAACATTCATCAAAGTTTGTGGTTTTATTGAATGTTTCCACATACTTGCTGTATCAGGGTGATTTAAAAACATGGAAATGGCAAAGCTGTGTATGATATAATGTGCTTTCACTGCAGTATATGAAAATTACATACTATATGGCTCAATAGGCAGCATTTATTTTTTGTATTCACTGGATGTGACATATGTAAGATTTTGGGACCAGTCTGCTGTCACCTGACTTCCTGTTAACAAGATACCTCAAAAAATCTTTGACAGATCTTTTGCAGACTTTGCAGGCACACTGTCTAGGTGACGAACTGGAACTGATTAACTTTTGAGAGACATCGCCCCAAAATTGAAGCTTTCGTCCAATCTTTAACAAAAGGCATGCAGACATATTGTAAGGTGAAGACCTTTCCGAATTTTAAGACAAATCACACCAAAATTGAAACAATGACACAAAGTGACAGCAGAGAGAAGAGTGACGTAGATACGACACTTAACATTATGAACTGGATAACTTTATTTTATATTATTACTCAGATCTTTGATGGATCTTACTACCATTTCACAATAACATTGTTGAACCTGCAACTACAGAGGGCAGCCAAGAGTAAAAACAGAAGCTTGCAGTCACCATCTTTTGAACAAAGCCGTCTGCCATTTCGAACTGAATCTTTTTGCAAGCTTCCCATGAACACTGTACAGTCAATGATTCTGTGGAGTGCAAGATCATTTCTATACTTGGAGTATTCTATACTAAAGTTCATAATTTATTTTTTTTGTTGTCAGCTCAGTAAATTTTATTGGTAGCTGTCCGGTGGCTGGTCAGCAAAATTCATCGTTGGGGAGTTTAGTCATGTCACTAAGCCCTAGTCCAAATCAGTGATGACACATGAAAGACCAGCTTCACTCTCATATGTGTGTATGTATGTGATGCACCTGTGCAAATGGCTTGACTGTAATTCCAAGAATCCAGCTCCTGGCTTTGCAAGCACAAATAACCAAAACATGAGCACAACTTAATTAATTTGAGAGCTCAAAATAGCAAATTGAGAGCATGAAAAAAGTAAATCATAAGCTTATTTTAGTATTTTGTAGGCACGTTTAACTAACGTGCACATTTTAGTACATTGTGCTCATGACCGTATATTCTATTAGTGTATCTGTTACAGTTCTTACTGTTATGTCACGGAAAATATTGGTCATAGTGCAAAAGAGAAATAAATAGAATATAAATATTTAGTCACACCTTATTCATCCATCCATTTTCTGTAACTGCTTGTCCTATGCAGGGTCACAGGGGGGTCTGGAACCTGTCCCAGAGGCTACAGGTGCAAAGCGGGGATCCCACGGCAGGGTACACTCACACACCAGTCACATACATGCCCACCTACAGGCAATCTGGTCATTCCAATTAACGTCAGCAACAGTGCTAACCAGTGCACCATCATGCCATCTTGCCCATGTCACTGTATATATTAAATCACTACATTTATTAGGTCGTATTATTTTAATGTGCGTTCCTAAGGAAATCAAGAAAAAATGGTCCCAAATGCCTCTTTATTGCACCTCATCAGTGGATTAAATGGTCCCTTTAAAATTTATATGACAATACAATTTCCTTGTAGTTTCAATTTCTTTGCTGATCAACTGTTTCCTCCAAACTCTTCTCACATGACTTTTTTTCCCATTGAGCATTTAATGGATTCATTAATACAGATAACTAACAAAACGCGTGATGCACTTGAACCAGTGTTTTATCGTTGAAGAACTGCAATGTATTAACAATACTTTGGAGTGCCAGTCATTATGAGTCATCCAGGGCCCACCAGCTGTTCCAATCAAGTGTGGTAATTGGAGAAAAGGAGCAAATGAGCCATGCTTTGACATCCGTCCCTGTGTGGTGTCTGTGGTGGCACATGGAGGGTAGGGGGGGGGTTCTGCCTCATCAGACATACATAAGCCTGGTTCAGAACCCGAACAAGAGCCACACAAAGACACAAGTGTGAAAATGTTACACGACTGGAGTAAATACTGTGACGTATATCTGAGAATTGTGACGTCGTCCGCGTCTTTGTTTCATTGCTTAATATAGGTTATATAGGTGCATCCTAAAGTAAACAGTGTGTCGTAATTAAACAGGCAGTTTAATCAAACAGATTTTTTTCTTTAACAAATACTTTGAAATAACAAGGTGGATTGTTACATAGCGACGAAGGAGCGAGACGCCATTAAAGATGCGGGTCTTTGTGGATCCTTTTCGCAAGGCGAGGTCTTCGGAAAGTAGCATCACTTTGCTGATTGATGAGACTGTGCGCAGCTTAGCTCAGAATCGCGCGCGCTCTGCGTGGGCGCGTTACCGAGCGCTACCTGTAGCGCGCTTTTGCAACCCTGGCGTTACCTCTCAAGGTAAATTCAATTTCTGCCTATTTACTTGCATGTTCAACAGCATTCTTCTCTGGATTTACTCATATAATTTCTTTGCACTTAATGTAACTAATAATAATTAACTAAACATGACATCGCCGTTTGCACTTTATTAACGTTCGAAGTATCTACACCTGCTTAGAAGAAATGTGGACATTATTCTAATTTAATACACATACGCTAAACGGCTAGAGATACCATGACGATGTGTTGTATTGTAATCATATAATTTATTATACACGACCTGCCGAAACATTTAGGCAACAAAAGTCCATATAGAACTCAACCTTCTCTCCAGAGTTGTACTGTTTATTCAGCGTGTTGTTTTGTGTGCATCAGATTTATAGCAACCTCCTTTGCGAAGTCACTGATATCTGATTTGTTGCACCTGCCCATAATTTATTTCAAGCATTACGTGTGGCATCCAATGAATAGGAAGACGATAACAAATGTGTGCCTTTCATGATTATAATTAAGCTATGTATTAGATCTTGTATTAGATTAATTGCCTACAAGCGGTAGGTGAGTTTTGAATGATTTTTCCTTTATTGTATTAATTCTAGTAGGTTATTGCTTTGGACTTGATCGAATGTCTCATGAGTTCATTATCCTTACTATAATTCATAATTCCCCCCCTTTTTGAAATATATGGTTTAGCTGAGCCTTGGGGATGCCCATTCCAATTCAAGGTTGTCACGATACTACTATCCTTATCCAAAGAATGACGAGCATGTTGTGACATTTACTTTGGGGATTTTGCTGTACACTTCACCTGTTTCTGTCACTCTGCTACCGGTAAGCGGAGCAATGAGAAGGTCACGCAAGACAAGCTTCGATTGTCACAACGTAAACCTGCCAGTGCTTTCAGTTTGAATGAAACGAGGCGTTCATCAGCTGAAGAATCACATTAGGGGTAACCTGTACCCGTCGACAATAAAATCTAATAAAAAAAAAAATCTAAGTAGCCTTAACATTCATTTGTAAAAGAAGTGTATGAGATCTAATACAATATAGCTTACAATTAGTTTTTCCTTTCTTTCAAAATATTTGAATACACGGTTAATGATTGTAAACGAAATCCCCCAATTTCGACCAAAGGCGATTCCTTAGTAATAATTGGTAGGATGGACTGTTTAAAGCATGTGTCATGTTTTACCTTGAACTTGTCGCGTTGATGTGGCGATGTTATTTTTCTTGCAGGTCTGATGTGAAAGTGGTCAGTCTTGCAACAGAGACCGATTAGGACATCCGTATTTTTCAGAAACTGCGCGTTGAAGATTTTTTTTTTCCCATTTTTTTTCACGATACTTGTCGCTCCAATAGGAGTGGCGATGCTCGGGAAGAAACTGGCGAAAGTTCATTACTTCCAGACAGTTTTAGGGTTGTGTTCTCTGGTGCAAGAGTAACAAGAGCACAAAACTGACTGAGTCAGTGAGTGAAGAGAGACGGGGGAAAGGAAAAGTTAGTGTGGAATTTAACGCAGAGCTTTGTGATCGGAGATGGATGGTAATGGTACGGGTCCGAAGAAGAATGATCAAAATCATGATTCCAAAGCATCTGGTAAGTATATGTAATTATCTTTTTTTGTATTATACGCGAATCATTATTCACGTACAGGAAGAATATAATTTACAGCTGTCAATGATGACCATTGAATGCTTTAACACATGCAGTTAATGTAATGAAATCATGGTCATATGCAATAGAAGTAGCAATTTTATATTTTGAATTTTAAAATGACCAAAGTTCGAATAAGATGTATTTAACATTTTATAGATGTTAGATGTTCTGTTAGAATTTTTCCCAGTGCAATATGATGACATTTCGCTAAGTGCTAATAAGGCATCATATACTATACTTGCGTTTAAAAATAATAACAATAAAAAAATTATAAATGGACCCAAAGTAGCTGCTTAATCAAATAACATCCTACTTTCTATTTTATCTTTACTGGTGAATTCACCCATTCCCCAGACTACCAGTTCTAATATTAGACGGAAAGGAAGCTTATTTTTTTTTCTTTTGCTCTTTTTTCAAACTTCGATTCCCACGAAGACTCATTCTAAGCCTGCTTCTTTAAACTGCCACCCGTATAACTGGACAGAGTCCCATCATAGTAAATATCAGAAGGCCGAACAGAGGAAATATGAGAGTCAAAAATATAAAGTTGACGGAAACCAGCTGGATGATGTTATACTGAGAGATTTGGAAGCATCTTTCAATAAAGCAAAGCATGGTTGGGTCAAAATAATTTTTTCTCATGTTCTTTGCAGTAAATAAACATTTAAAAGCTGTCATTTCTAATTATTCTGTGAACAATCACCTAAAACGATGTTTACAAACCATCTTCTTCCACTATCCATCATTGAAAGGCTTATTCTGGTCAGGATGGTGGAGCTAGTCTTAAAATTTCAAATAGTTTGGGAAGGCTGCATGTAATCAAAGAGTGACCCTTATAGGTGCCATATTACCTAAGCAAACAAAGGGCTTGTTGCATAAATAGGTCTGCTACTATAACACAATGTATCAGTACAGTTTATGGATGTTATGGTGTGTCAATCTGACCTGTTATGAACATGCGTGATTTGTAGTCTATAATCTCTCACTTTTTCTTGGTCAATTGAATCAATTCATGGTTATAATCTCTTGGAGGGATATACTATTTTAAGTGAGCCATATTTGAAAAATAAAAACAAAATATCACAGCCCATCTATGGTATTAGTTCGATTCCCACTCATTTAAAGATGAAACATACAGGCGTATTATCAGATTTCGTGTATGTATAGGTACAACATATTTAACAAGCAACAAACACAGTTGGGTTTACTAAAAGACCACCTAAGACATTTTTTCCCTTGTGTATTGTTCATACTGGAAACTTTTTTTCCCCCCACTGTTTGACCCAGACATTAAATGGACAGAAGTAATACCAGATATGTCCACTAAAAATGTCTTTCTATATTTAATTCACAAGCCTAATCACTTCGGATTAAAAGTAAATTTATTCAATATTATCTTTGGAAGAAGAGAAGTGGGTGTGATGCTACTGTAACTTGTATCACTTATGAATGCCTTGAATCGCCCAGTATCTATCATTGATCTATCACTTTCACACTTTAGATGTGTTCAACTGCAATTTTAACTCTGAACACATGATGACGCTCTACAAAAAATGTGCTAGTGGTCTTAGCCTTTATGAGGAACATACCTGTAACATATCTTCCTAAGTTCTCAGAATGGGCTTTTTTCATATGTCAGCTGAGACCCAGGCAGTCTTGTATGGTATAAAACTGAATGACAGCCATGCAATTGGGTTAACGTGAAGCATTAGCTTTTTTTTGGGAACTTCTGTCCTGTGCTAATCCCAGCTTTTCTTACTCCACAGGTAAAACGTTCTTAGTCCACAACCGCTCAGGAAATCACCTACCAGAGTTGGACTCAGAGTCTGTGATAAGAAAGACGGAGAATTGCAGCCCTGTGCCTGCAGAAGACAAAGGGGTGGACATAATCAACATCAAGGGCATCGAGGACATCGGATATGTCCAGCAGGATTCCATCGTGAGTCACTTTCTCAGTGTTTGCAAATGATATTTTGGATCACATGTTAGGCATGTGATGCTTGGAGTTAGTCAACAGGAACACCTTTCATTTGGGTACAAACACTATAGTTACAGTGACGGTCCACATTCTTTGGTTCTGCCCATATTAATTACTGTGAACTGTTAATACTGACTGACTTTGTTATGGAGGGTAGGATGACTTGCATGTTCAAAGGGGCCCTGTTCCAAGCTCACCAGTGTGGACATGGCTATCGTTCCAGCTGCATTTTTGCATACAAATACTAATGATGGGTGGGAGTCAGGGACTGGGTTTGAATGAAGGGGACCTTTCTTTGACCTCTGAGCAAAGTAAAGCCTTCTTGAGCATTAGAGAATCGTACTACAAAGCCTACAAATAATATCTTTTCATGTTACTTTTTTAGCAGATATTTTTCTTCAAATTGGAAACAAGTAATGATCACAGAGCAGAGTCAGCCACCATCCCTGGGGCAACTGGGGTTAAGGGCCATGCTCAAAGGCCTAGTGGTGATACAGCTACTCTGCTGGATATGGGATTTGAAAGCACAACAGACATAGGTACATACCCTTAACCGACTGTGCTGCACATCACTCAGGTTGACTGTGCTGCACATCACATACCCATGTAAGTCATCTTATATCACTCACTCAAATGGCTCTGCATAATGAAACTGTGGGCTATTTCTCAAGCTCTGAAAGGAAGACAATTGGAGATTTCACCACATCCTTATTTTCCCAGAGAGGAATGAACTTTGCTCCTGCCTGTGCAGAGCAGCCAGACACATGTTCTCCAGTGGGAACACACCCAAGCTTGTAAAGGCAATATCCACTGTTGTGTGATAACTATTTTTTTCCATATGCATTCCTACTATACTGGTTCAGGGCCCGGTTTTCTGTGATGTTTATTGACAAAAAAATTGTGAATGGAACCAAAACAGTATCAAATGCACAACTGTACAGCATATAACAGCAGATGCAGGCAATGAAATTAGTTATTTACAGTATTTAGATGCTAGGCTAGTTTATCTTTTTGTGGGTTGGAATTATGAAACTTGTCTATTCTGTGTGTCTGAAGTAGTACTTCATCATCATACTTCAAGTCCAGTAAGAGGTTCACAGGAAAATATACAGATTATTGCATTGATCTGGGGTTAAGTTACTATCACAAGACAACATAAAAAAATTCTCAAAACCGGAACTGATTAGGGTTACCATAAGTGAAGTGATTATTTGTCATTTTTGACACACCACAGCACCCAGTGCACATCAACGATATCTGTCCTCTGCATTTAACCTATGTGTAACATTGTGACATAGCAGTGGACAGCTAATTCAGCACCCAGGGAGCAGTGCTTGGGGTGTGGTACCATGCTCAGCATACCTCAGTGGTACTTTGCTGGTCGGGGATTCAAACTAGCAATCTTTCGATTACAAGTTCACTTCCTTAACCATTACTCCACCACTGCTCATAATATTCTCATGAATATTAATGGATTTTCCCTAACCACCCTGTATTAACAGGGTGACCTTACAGTTAACTGTCATTTTACAATTTACACACAATTGACACAATATACCTGTATACAAGTCTTTTTTAACAAAAGTTAAGCTTCAAGCAAACAGGATTCACCGTTCCCACAAAAAACAAAAATAGTGTCTAATTGCCATTGGTTTCCTGAAGCTGAGGTCACTCATGAGCAGCATGACACATAGAGATGTGCATATTGTTTAATTTTTAAAGTAAACATGTGCATGAGCCTTGTTAGCTCTGTGTGATGATATTGAGTGGCTGCCATATATTGACAATTGGTGCCTTTTCTTTCACTGGTACTCCACTGTAACTCCCAGCACTGGGTCATACGGGTTGCAAACCCGGACAAACTGCTGATTTTTTGAAAAACCACCTGGACATCCAGACATGGCCCAAAAAGAGGATGTTTCTGGGGAAACCCGGACATATAGTAACCCTAGATCTGATTTTGACAGATCTTTATCAAACCTTGCGCAGGCATTGTATGAATGGAAAGAATGAAATTTTGAGACAGATTGCCCCAAAACTGAAGCAGCACTGTGTAGTGATTCCAAAAAAGGTATGATAATAATGATACTTTATTGATCCCTTGGGGGGGAGATTCTCTTTTCACCTACCTCAGCTTGCACTCCATGACACACACGTAGGTGAGAGAAGGGGAGTTACTAAAGATTTTGAACCCCATGAAATCATATCATATATTCGGCCCCCCAGTCCAGACCAATCCAATTATTTTCCAAAATTTTAAGGGCCCCTGTCACTCTGGCGCCCTTGGAATCTTCCTAACTCACCCCCTTTCTTACGGTGCCCCTGGGTGAGAGCAAGCTTGGCAGCGAAGAGCGGCCACCTGTAGTGGCACCTACTGTATGGAGCTGGGGGTTAATGGCCTTGTTCATGGGCCCAGAGATTTAGCTATTTTCCTGAAGGAAGGCTTGAACTGGTGACCTTCTGATGACAGGCACAGAGGTTTAGCATCCTGAGCCAAATTAATAAGACACACAAAGTGCTCCAGTGGTGCTGCTGTAATACTGGTTCATTTCCATATCCATGGATTTCCATATTACTTTACTAGTGAATATTAATTAATATTTGAATGTACACTTCAAGTTCAATAGCTGTCGATCTTAGTGAAGATTATAGACATGCGTAATCAGAAAATGGAGTGGTCGCATTGTCCTCCATTGTCCATTGCTTGAACCAGACTTTACTGGACATCTCCTTAAGTTATACTGTAGTTAGTCCCTTAATTTTCTATATTTTCACTTAGAATGGTGTCATGAATGAAAATGATGTCGCTGTCTTAAAATATGTCACCACCTTTGTCATCATCCCTGGCAACATATCCACAGTGTGTGTGTGTGTGTGTGTGTGTGTGTATAATTGATAATGGAATAGTGAATGGGTTTTGAAGGGTTACAAGTTTATTTTTATTAGTCAGTATTAAATAGGATTATGAATAAAAGACGAAGAATAGTCACAAAAACCACAAAGTACTTTTGGAAATGTACATTTTCTTAACAACAATCACACTGTATGTAATCATTTTCACTGTCAGCGGTCTGCTGTCAGCATGCCTTTCTAGCTTTGGCGGCAGTCACAGTGTTGCTCTTTTCCATTATTGTACTGTTGAAATCTTTACTGTATATTTTTCCATAATAATTCTCTGTTCCATTTCATTGAAATACTTAGTTCTGTTGTGATCCATGCTTACGTGATTGGCTAATTGTTGCAAACTGCACGCTTTTATGTGCATGCGCCTAGGAAGATTTCAGGAAGGTTTCAGTAAGCTTGGCTTTAGTAAGAAACCCTGGCATGATATCAGACACCCCACTTCTCCTGAAGTCTCCCGCAAATTGACAGCAGCTCCCTGATAACCACAAATGACGCGCAGTGTCCTACAAATCTGTTGTTCCACTATCCAGTGCCGGTAAAATGATCCAGTAAGGAGTTTCACCAACGCAACCTTGCCCCAAATTTTATCACCACTCTATAGCCCCAGTCAGCAAGTTTCTGACCCATGCCCACCCTAGTGAGCAATTTTTTAAATATATATATATATATATATATATATATATATATATATATATATATATATATATATATATATATATATATATATATCCCCCACCCTCCCGGATGCCCCTCATCTGCCTCCCTGAAATCAATATCCCTAAGGTGGGATGTCTGTGATATAGACTATAGACCCCTATTATTCAAATCGCAGTCCTCAAGGTCCGAGCACTACTAATTTTCCAGCCTTCCTTTACCTGTCAGTCAGGTGTGAAGCCTCTGGCCAATCAGAATCAGTAATTATTAAATTAACTACCTGGGAGAACTGAAAACAAGGCCTGGATTTGGATTGGAGGTCCAGATTTGAAGAGCCCTGCTATAGACTATCAGTGTTATGGTACTTGAATCGCAGTTGTTTGGTTTAGTTAAGGTAGCATTGACGTTGTCGATGAGCTTTGTAGTACATGCCCCTGGTTTACCTGCCTGTACCCAGTTTTGTATCTATGTCCTGTGTCTCTAGTGTTTACCTCATTAGTGCTTGGCTGATTGTTAATGATGCACAATTGTTCCTTGTTTAAACCTCGTTACTTGCATATACTGTATAAACCCCTGCCTGTTGGTCCAAATCCATGCACTTCTAGTATAGTTCTACTATTATGTACCTGCCTGTGAATTTGGTTTGTAATATAGGCTCCCTGTGTCTTAATACCTGCATTATGGACTGTCGATCATGCCAATATGTAACAAAATTGACATGTAAGTAGAATGTGTAATAAATGGTTCAGAGTTATGCATCACGGCAAGCATTTGTGTAAAAATATATTTATTGGCTATCATATTTCCAATTGTTCCCTGTGGTAAATCTAGAAATTGTTGAGGTTAAAGGGTGTGGGTGGAATATGGATTAGATGGCCAGAGCAGGTGTTGGGGCTATCTCAGGGATTCTGACAGCCTTCCTTTCTGGTTTGCCTAGACAGCTACACGCACTTTAATTTGTGGACACGTAACAACCCAGATAGCACCCATATGTTGAAATGACATTGATTCTGTATCAGACAGGTTGAAACAATGTTGATCTTCAATGCTTCACTTTATATCAACATAGAAACAAGGTTTTGCCACCATCAATTTTTTCAATATTGAAAATCTGACCAAAATTCAATTCAGTTTCAACACTGATAATTTAACACTGACCGTAATTCAACTCATTTAACTAATTCAACGTTGAGACAATAACATGGTGCTATCTGGGAAGTTACATACCTGAAATGCTGATCTGCTTTCATATATTTTGCATTCTTAAACAATTTAGGAATATAAAGCATATGACGTTACTCATTTTACTTTACAGACTTTTCTTGGGCAGGTGCTCTAACAGGGGCTTGGCTGACCAGTACTTTTTGCGGGGGCGGGGCAGGGGGGTCCCCATCTAGGATTGCAAGCAGTTTTTGACAGGGTATGGCTTTAGTACAGTTGATGAATTATGGTTTGAGTTGAATGCATCTGAACTGCAGTTAAGCTTGAAGGTGAAGATGTCATGGTGTGAGGAGCCTTTTCACCTGCTGATACCCAGAAGCTGCTTCACTGTGAACAGTCAATTAATGCTGCAGAGTACTGTACAGGAGAATATTGCAGAAAAGGCTCATTCCCAATTGTGATCAGAGGAAGAACAATCAGAATTTTCTTTTTAACAAGACAATGCTCCTGTCCACACTACAAAGACCACCGAAAAGTGGCTTGTGAGCAAGTCCTCATGTTTTGCCTTATAGAGAAATATAGATGGGAAAAAAAACCTATAAAGAATATTTGGTCTCACATTAAATACAAACCACTATGGAATCATTCTTCCACTACTGATCATCTGTTTGGAGTCATCAAAACTGAGAGAAACAACATTAATTCCTGTAACAATAAGTTTCCCTGCAAGACTTCTATGTTTGAGGAAATCCAAGGGTAAAGCTTACGAATACAAAGTAATCTATCTGATCAATTGCCTGATCATTGATATGTTGTGAAAAACCATGATAAAATAAATTAATTTTTGGCTTGACCTGTTTTTTTTTGTCCCAGACTGTATATTTATATTAAATTTAGCCATGTTTGGCGAAAAAGAACTAAATGCTGCAACTAATGTGAGGACATATAAAGAGTTAAAATCCAAGTGTCTTCTAATATTAGCTCTTGGCTTTCTTAACTCCTCTCAAGTAACAGGCAGGTTGAGCAGGCAGATTCAGGGCAGCGGGCGCATTCGGGCTTGCAGACCAGGGAGCGAGTCCTGCTTGATTGCAGTAGCCCACAGGGATGGGAAGATGGCTGAGAATGCAGCTGAACTCACAGGCACTGCACTGCCAGGCCCCACAAGGCAGACAGACTTCCTCAGAGATGTGGTATTCCATGGCAAGTTCAAAGTAAGTGCTACAGGTGAATGAGTTAGCAGATGATAGAAAGCCTCACACTGACACGCGCCCACAGAAACTTCTTAATACTTTTCTGTCTGTCTGTGTTTTCTGGGTTTAATCTTTAAAATCATAGAAGTGCTTGAAGTTTGACAATAAGAAATATTAATTTGAATCAATTTATATGCCTGCCAGATTTCAAACTATCAAATCCAGAGTTTGTCCTGGAGTGTTGGTTAAGAAATTCCATGTTTTATTAGTATTTGTTGGCACACCTTTTGCACCTTCCAGTCAAACATCCTTAACCTGCTTTGTGCCAGCTCCTGCATTAGCTAACCACCAAAGGCTACTCAATTACTTTGGCTTGGATGAGTTGTTGTTCGTCTCTTCATTGTTGAATAGTAGCCATAATTTGGAAATTAAGTTTCTTCCCTTGGTCTTTCTTAATTAATAACACTAAACCCTATATCACTGGAGGACTCCTAGTAGATTGTGTCCAATTTCGTCTTTGTGCTGTCTTGTCTTGAAACTCTGGTTCCATGAATAACTGGGACAAGTTACTTCATGGATTCCATATAATCCTCTGATAAATGTGTGATGTTCAGGACCAGAAAAATCGGTGCTGGTGAGGACTTTCAAGGATGCCATGGACCGTAAAGAAAACGAACAAGTGGATTCTAGACTAAATAAAGACTAACCTTTGATTTGAAGCACGGATGACAAAACTAAAGCTATTTATTGTGGGTTTTTTAAGAGAAGACCCACTACATTGGAGAAGGCCATAATACTTGGAGGAGTTAAAGGTAAAAGAGGAAGATGATGACCATAATGGATGGGCTGAATCATCACACCAATGAACATGCCATTGGAAAGGCCGAAAAACCAGACAGAAGATAGATGGGAATCCTTCAGAATGCCTAATGATCTTACCACGAGTCAACATCAACTCCATAGCACCTGATAAAAACACAGAAGCAATTTCCATAGAATGGTCTTCCTTATTTATTATTTACTATTAGAAATTTTAAACGATATAAGTATGAAAGTCCTCAATCCTCCTCTAAATATTACACATCAATCTCGATAATGATTAAAATAATTCAAAAAACATAGTAATAAATCATCTCTGCATTCTTGGGTGACCAGCTGTATATTACGTACTACACCAGTGGAAGTCTTGAAGGGCAGTAATATGTAATATGAGCTCCAGCACAACCAAGCCACATCTCAGGTTTCTTCCGGTGGCTTCATGAGGTTCTGGTCATCATTTTACATCAAGCCCCGAGATGAATATAAACCAAGAACCACTACAGAACCTGTGTTTTTGATGTGGACATTTAATATTTGTGCTTAATAATATCCTTTTACATCAGCCTGCTTGTGCAATCATCATGCAAGACCACTGCTGTGAAACTGTGAACATGGATTACTTTGTTGATGAAGCCTTATTTCACACACCCAGAAACGGCACCATCAACAGATACTGTAGGAGAAATTTGGTTAGATTTGGTGGCAAAAGGTTAAGTACTCTAGTGTACATCAGTGCAATTCCCAATCATTTCTTGATACAATTGTGTCCAAATTCATAAATTAAATGCACAGCCCCAGTCTAGATGACGTAGCACCATGTGTTGTCATGCTAAATGTGATTCCGGTGTTTGCAGCCCATGACATGCATGGATGAGGTTTTATTACTGAGATGTTGGATTTGGGTGTAGATACCAAATGACTTTGTAATGGTGGTTGTTTGATCTGTATACCTGACTTCAGCTAGCAAATTCAAAATGTTATGGAAAAGATAAGGAGCCCGTTAAAATGTTTGACTGCAATGTTAAATATTGCAGCTTTGGAATTGTTGATACTAAACTGATTAATATTTTCAGTTCATTTTTTTTGTAGTTACTGTATATCATACCATCTGATTAAATTTAAATGGAGAATTAAATTTACCTTTTTATGCACTGAACTGCTTTTCAGAACTGAAGTGGCTTTGTATCCTGCTGTTGATTTGTTGACAAGCTCATCCATCTTCTCCCCCTTTTCCCAGACTAATTTAATTTCAGCTGAATACCATAAAACAGAACATAAAATCAGAAGCATACTGGTTTATGGTACTTTTCAAATACTCATCTCTGGTATTCAAGATGATAACTAGTTTGATCATCGCCAATATGAGTGCAACATATAGACACAGTTGCTTCTTCCTAGATTCATTTGGAGAGTTTAGAGCATCCTAGGTCACTAGGGGAAAATTACCTAACCTGTTGCACACATGCCTTTCACAACTGCGTTGATAGTGTCCCCCGCATGTGCGTATGCACAAAGGTGCACGTATGCACTGTTGGCCTCTGCAATGCCTGTATGCCCTCTCTGTCTAGCTGCTGAATGCTCGGATCCCTGAGGAAAACACGCAGTGCCGGCAAGGTCTCTACTTCCAAGATGGTGAGAGGCGGGTGGACTACATCCTCACCTACCAAATCAAGAAACCCGGCAGCTCTCGCCGGCACTCGTCCCGCCTGACAGATAACGCCCTCACCCGCAGTCTGCGGCGCAGCCGGGGCCCGCCACCGCAGCAGGACCCCGAGGGGGCCACGCAGGAGCACAACCTGCAGTACCATGAGGACGACAAGCGCGTCTGCCGGGAGGAGTTTGAGGGCAATCTCATGGAGATGGGCCTGGACCTCGAGAAAGACGAAAATGTGAGTAACACTCTGTGCCTAGAAGCAGCCACTAAGTGGGAAGGAATACCAGTGAACAGCGGCTTTTGTTCGACACAAGCTACTAGATGAAAGGTTTGCTTTCTTCCTTTGAGCTGAGCTCAAGCAGTTTGGTTAAAACAACCACAGTGAAGGTGGTTAAGGTGCACAAAAGCAATGTGAGAAATGAAACGAGGTCCTATCGTCAGCCCGTCAGCTTCACTGAGCTGTAGACAGGGCCACAAATGAAGCTCTGTGCTGGTAGGTTTGTTATGGTCCAATTCACTTGAAAGGACACCTCATAATTTTTATAAGATTTAACCCTTGTTACCTCTGTGTGTGTGTGTCTATGTGTGTGTATATGTGTGTGTATGCACACACACAGACATACATACATACATATATACATATACCGCCGCAGAAAAAAATTAAGAAACCACAGGACAATTTTTGTTGCACTCATTTCTCAATTTCTGGGTGTGTGTCTGTGAATATTAATTTTTTTTTTGTTTTTGCAAACTGCAGCCTGGTTCTTTACTGTTTCTCATTGATGAAGGGCTTCTTCCTTATTTTATGGGACTTCAGTCCTGCTTCTAGGAGCCTGAAACATTTCCCATTCCTTTTGAAGGTCACTTGATATCATCCTACAATTCATGAGAGACTGTCGGATAAGTTAACAGTCATCTCTGATGTCATCTCTGGTGTGTCACTTCTGTCCTACATCTGGCTGGTTTCTGGTCGTTCCCAGTGTTTCCTGCTGTTTTGTTCTTGTGTGCTGCTGTCTTAGAAACCTGGAAGCAACCTGCTGCTCAGCGTAGCATTCTGCTAGCAGACCCACAATTAAACCAGGATTTAAAAATGCAGGTTTGTTTAAAAAAAGAGTGGTCTCTTAATTTTTTCTGCGGCTGTGTGTGTATGTATTTATATATATATATATATATATATTTAAAAAAAAATGGAATTTGTTGTCTTCCTAAAGTGCATTTTCATATACTTGCATGGTTTGGGGATATTTACCTTAATGCGCACTGGGCACTTTAGCAGAATGACATGGTATTTTGAGTTTACTAAGTACTAAGATAACATTCTTCATATATATGTGTCATATCCAAATCCTTGCAGTCATGTGTGCCTGAGATGCTGTGCAAAATGTGCTTGAGCTGCAGGCGGCAGCAGTATGAAATCAGAGCCCGTCGATTGCTCCAAATGCCGACTGCAGTAAGAGTACACCTACCAGGAGGGGTCTTTCCCACACATGGTTCTGCAGTTGTGGCGGGTGTACATGCAGACAAAATTGGCAGTCCGCTCCTCTCTGGAGGCGTGGGGGAGGTTTTGGAATTCTGTCCCAGATCTGGAACATGTGGCCTGGGAGTTACTGGGTGGTGGAGGAGCTGGAAGGAGGGGTTGTTGGGGACGGCAGAATAAATAGAAGGCACGACGGTCACTCACCAGCCCTGAACACACTCCCGAAAACTGATTCACAGGCAGCCGTTGGCCTTTTCGGCTGCGTCTTTGAGCTGAATGTTGATTGCACTATTATGCTAATTGGAGGTTGTAAATGGTGAAGTGATACAGAAGGAATCCCACCAAAAAATGATTTGTTTGTTCGGACAGTATGAATTTCTTTAGTAAATATGCAGCTGTTTGAACACAATTTTGTAAACGCTGTAAACTGTTCTGATCTTTAGGCTTTGACTGTGCTAATGTGTTTGCTGCATCAAAAATTGTTGTGTACATTTGTGTTGGATTATATTATATTTCAGCAAATGATCTTATTTTATATGATTAATGAAAATCTCTGCCAGTAAATATGATTTTATTACGGATATGAGTAAGAGACATGCTTGATTTTGTCTCACTCAAGACTGTCATAAAAGACCACTAATCTTTTCGATTATCTTGGGGAGGTTCATCATTTGGGTCCATTTGTTGCTTTTTTGTTTTGACAATTTTAGGATAACTGCAGTGACGTCATTATTACAATATCAGAATAAAATCTGATTTTTTAAATTCCCCAGCAAGACGGGTAATAGCATGACTGAGCAAAAGTTGGGTGATTCTGTGATTTTGATTATAGCAATAGCTGAATATGAATCCTGTTTGCCTCACTTTAAAATGAGCCAGCATTTTATCTGTAGCTTAACTAATGACAGATGGCAGTCTCTCTGACCACCATATCTTATGCCAGCAGTATCAGTACTTGTCCTAGCATTGAGACTGTCACGTTTGCTTTTGGATATGTTTGTGTGAACAGCTAGAATATCGTGATTGCTCATTTTTGCGAAAGACACCCTATCAGTGTTTCAGCGTCATTCTTCTTGGATGCTTTAACTGTGCGCTAAATCTTGTTTGTTTGAAGAGCCCGTTTCTGTGAACATATGGAGTATGGAGGAAATTTGGCTCTTGCCTCTTAGTTTATGCGTGTATCAAACTGAGTCACGCACCGATGCGGACATAATTTTTGTTACTCCATACTACGCAGCTCAGGGCTTCAGCCTCGTTGTCATGAATCCATACTACGGTGTATCGTCATGCTTTTAGCGTTCCCTGTTTTTCATGGTTCTTTTTTGCACAGCAGTGAGCCCGTGTGCCATCTGTGTGAGGAAGCTCTGGACCGCGATGAGAAAATCTCATGCCCACAGAGCGGCAGTAATTTCAGGGAGCTGTCAGTCATAACACCTCACCATGATCCTCACGCCGTGTTTCACCTTCGGATTGTTGTTGGTCTGCATTGCCTCTTCTGACTTGCCAAATGTACCGAGGGGGACCTGCAATGTATACTTATTTGTTAAAGTAGCTCTCACTGTAAAAAAAAAATAAAAAAAAAATAAAAAATAACACTGAGGACCATTGCACTAGAGTTATTAGACACTTCCTGTTGACAATTTTGTGTATTTTGTTAGTTATCACAAGGCTTATTTCTAACACTGATCAGCATATTTAAATGATTAGGGATCACTATCCTTCGATGCACCTCTGACTGCAGTGGCTCGTTCTTCCGGCAGTTTTGCAAATTGTGGTGATAAAATTAACATTAAACTGATAGAGATGGAGTAAGTCTGGCAACAGGTGTAAACTGAAGCATTGCTAAGAACTCTAAATATGTGCAGTGAATGTTTTGTTCCTACTCTTGTTCCTATGTTTGAGAATTATTGCTATTTTTATCATTTTGGATTTTTCCACTTGTTAATGTCTGGCATAAGCATGATTTGTTATAATTCTCTCTAGAAACAAACTCTGTCATGCATTCCTTAATTTTTCTCGGACACGATTTCTCATGTCCCTTTTAGTCACCAGCAAGTAGTCTGTATAGACTGCTTTGTTTTGGTTGTGACGGGAGCAAAATGGATTGTTTTGCACAGTGATGCTTGTTTACATTCGGTTGTCAGTTGATTGATTGCAGTTGCTTGTATTAATCATTTTTTTTCTTTCCCAAAATAACGCTTATAAATTTGTTTTTTCTGGCTAACAAAACTTGTTTATCCTTGTGGGGTTTCTGATGTGGATCTAAGATGTAATTGAAGTACCAAGATAAGGAAGTGGCCAGGTTTACATTAGGTGACCTTATGGCATGTTTGATGGCATGTTTGCAAAGAAAGGCCATTAATTCATGTTTTATAAGCTCAGGCACATTCAGCAGGATATTTCCCTTGAACCAAAACATCCCATAATCAGCTTGACTTTCGTAGGGTATATGCAGAGATGTTTACATTGTAAGTGCTGGCTATTTCTGAGTTTAACCCTTTCACTTCCTGTAACCTTCTTGGCAGTGGATCCATGGTGCCATGAATAAGTTCTACAATAATTACAAAGCAGAATGCAAGGCATCGCCTGCCAGAATACCAGCCATTATGGGTTATGTGCAGAAATTTAAATTCTAGGTTATTCAAAGATAATGCTGAGATGCAGAAATCAGACCAACATGGAGATTACAATATAAGCAGATGTAGAAGACACTTGGCTTTGTGAACGCAGTAACTGTAAAGTATTTTACAGATCTTTTTCAAACTGTGCAAGTACATTGTAGAGTTTATAAACTGGAAAAGATCAAATTTTGAGACAGATTGCTCCAAAATTGAAGTAGTGCCGCATAGTGATTTAGAAAAAAGGCAGTTTTACTCCTGACCGTGAACTCAAAGTATTTGACAGATCTTTTTCGACCTTCGCAGGCATGTTGTGAGGGGTGACGATCAGGAATCATCAAACTCTGAGACATATTGCACCAAAACTGAAACGGCGCCACACAGTGGTCGCGAAGAGAAGGCCAGCTCAGACACTTGATTTTAGCAGCATGTGAATTATTCGTCTGATCTTTTCCAAACATTGCAGGTCCATCGTACAGGTACAGATCTGCACATATTCAAAATTTGAGACATATTGCCCCAAAACTGAAGCAACAGCACTTAGTGACTACAAATACACGGATGAGGCCTAACCTTGTGAACAGGATAACTCTATTTGTTATACTTGTTATACTTTGTTGTACTCTACTTACTTCATTGGAACTTCGATGGATCTTACTCCCACTAAACATTATTGGTGGCAGTACAGTAGCCAGTGGGCGAAATGTATTGTGGGGGACTAGGAGAAATTTTTTCTGGGGAAATTTGACTTGTCAAATCCTGTTCTTAAATAATGCTCCCAGTACAAACTGACTCTAAATTACACTACTTCTGAATCAATTTGCCCTTTAAGAGTATGGGAAACATATTTTAATAGCGTATTATGACATTGCACTGTGTTGTTAATTATCTTTAGACTGTGAAGAAGACATTCAAGTAAGAATTTCATTGTACTTTGTATATATTACATTGCTTTCTTAGCTCAGATTCAATTGAATGCAGAAGAAACTTAAACTGGCATTAAAATTTGAAGTTGCTGTGCACAGAGCACACAATAGTGTTTGGAATATTTTTTCTCTTGTCTCTGAAAATATTCAGTTTCAAATATCTCCTAGCCACTCGCATGCGTGTAGCGTTAATTCCTCATGCAGGTGCATAGATGATGCGTAAAATCAACGCAGAAACTGGGTTGTGGCCGTGATGCAGGTGAACGTTGAATACAAACCAGCCCTAACACTACGCAAGATGCAGCATCACCAAAAAAGGCTGAATAATTACTAATCAATTCATTAGTTTTATTTTTTAAATTATGTGATATTATTACAAATATTTGAGCGGATACATTTACCCCTGCACCCAAAAGTGGAAGAGAACAGAATACATGACGTCAAGTAACAAACAGATTGTCCATAGTATTCACTCAGTTCACCCTAGGTTCTTTGTGGTCACGTTTTCTTTATGCAAGAAGACAAATAAACAAAACAATGAATTTAACTAAACTGAAAATTAATTCAAGGGGTAGAAATAGCAAATTGAGAGCACAAAAAAGTTAATTTATTAGATTTGCATTTAGCATCCCATGGGAAGGTTAAAATGTATTATGCACATGATTTAATACATCATGCTTCCCACAAACAAACAAAAAAACACAGTTAATGTATCTGTCACGCTTCTTATGTCATGTTATGGAATACTTACTCCTCATAGTGCCCAAAGGAAATAAATATAAATATTTAAACATATAAAAAGTATGAACAATATAAATTTCATTTTTAGACATGAACATATCCAAAGAAATACCTTTAATCACCTCATTTTTGGTGAAGGATTCTGCAAATTGGCATGTAAGTAGAATGTGCAATAAATAAATAGGACTCAAAAGCATTCAGGTAAGAACATTTATTGCCGGTCTCATTTCCAGTTAATCCATCCAGTACTTCTAGAGATTATAAAAGCTGGGGAGTGTGGGAGGTGTATGGATTATAAGTGACAGGACTGCCGGAGAATACAATGCTGTCGTTCTGGCTGCCCCCCTTTCTAGTTTAGCTTACTATTATTGCAAGATGAAACCTTCCCCTTATACGAGAACTAAAGCCATTCATCTCCTTACTCTGATTTCACAATATTAGCTTATTAATGGTGGTTGGAAAAACATGAAAGGAGAGCGTGGGGAAATGGCCACCATAGTAGGGTAGCAGGTTGTTTGCTGGGAGGAGATAAGTAACAAATGGATCATCATGAGCTGATGTGTTTCAGATCAGGACTATACATGACAAGTAAAAGTTGATTTTAAGAAGTCTCTTTCTGGATGATGTTTTCTCATTCTTGTTCTGGCTTTAGCCAAGATCATTGTAGTTATTGTATTGGTCATTCAATAGCTTGCAAATAGGTTGGAATATTTAACACTGGGTCCAGAAGAAGTGTAGGTTTATCTCACTGACTCCTTTATATATGACATTCTGTGTGTAAAGTTTGTGTTCCCCTATTTGTGGATAAAAGCTTGTGATGGCTTTTTAAAGAGCTATGAGAATTATTCTCCTTAGAACTACTGTAGTTAACACCAGCACTGCTGGTTCCCACTCCTGCAGATCTAGCACCCTGCAGAGTGTTAAATTAGGGCTGCACCCTAAGCTCTGCAGGGTTATAGATCTGCAGGAGCAAGAATCAGCAGCCCTAGTGTGTATATGCCACGTAAGCCTATTATTTTGAAACACCAAGATCATTCTATCATAATGTTTGGCAAAGAATTAAAAATAGTCTCTTGAGTAATGCATGGGGTTTCTGTTAGAGTTTTCATTAATGCTCTTTTAACTTCAGAATCTACAAATTCATTTGTAATGTACAAGCATGCACGGATTCCATTCAACTACAGTCTAGGTCAGGGATGGGCAATCTTATCCGCAAAGGGCCGGTGTGTATGCAGGTTTTTTCTGCAACTCCCTAATTAGGTCATTAATTAGAGGACCGATTGGCTGAAGAGTCCTCACACCTGGGTTTGAACAGCTGACCTACAGGTTATCCCAAAAACCAGTATACACACCGGCCCTTTGCGGATAAGATTGGCCACCGCTGGTCTAGGTGATACTTGCTTTGTATTCTAAGGCAGGTTGTTTTGTTTGTGTGTGTTTCAGTCAAAAACTCCTGGGATGGGCTTTGTGAAGATACATGCTCCCTGGCATGTCCTCTGCCGAGAAGCAGAGTTCATGAAACTCAAGATGCCCACCAAAAAAGTTGGTTTGGAAAGATGATTTTTTCCCCCCCCTAGTCGTTGGTAATGCTGCGTTCCACTGTGTTAACAGTGCTTTCATTTCATCTCAGGTGTATGAGGTCAACCACGGTAGCAGCCTGGTTGAGAAAATGAACACATTCATCAGCAAGGTGACAGAACCCCTGCACCCAAAAGTAGAAGAGAACAGAATACACAACGTCAAGCACCTTTCCTACCCATTCTCACGAGAAAAGCAGCATCTGTGAGTACCCCCTACTTCCCTACTCACTCCCTACACTCCCTCCAGAAGGATAGCCTCAACATTCTGATGGCCTGCGCAACCTTATCTGTTATAATCAGACTCAAAGACTCTTTGTATGGAAGGTATTTTCTGCAAAAAATAAAATGAATATGATAAATGATGAAAAATACAATCTCCACTTTGCCTTTTAGTTTTCAAAGTCTATGTGTAAAAATCCTGCCAAAATGAAAATTAAGATGAAACAGTATGAGTCAGATGTGACATAAAAAAAATTAAAAATTAAATTAAAAAACCTTTTTGTCTTTTAGTTTTCCAATTTGACTTTTCATTTCCAAGTTCAACATGAAAATGTGTGTTAATTAAGTGGGAAGTCGGCAGAGCTATGGATTACTGCTGTGCTTTCTTAGTGCGTTTGCAGATTCCGAAATCATTGTGTTTCTTGTATATGATCAAAAGACAAAAAGGTTAATTAATTTTATACAAGCCAACTCCCTGGCTTTATTTATGGCCACAATATTGCCTTTTAGTGATTACATCTTTTGATCTGCGGCAGAAAAAAAACACCGCTCTCGTTTTACACTCTTTCCGACTCATTTGATCGATCTATCGTTCATCCATTCATTTGGGTTTCTTAAATATGTCAGGTGTGTGCACTAAGTGAGATTATGCAAGTCTGTCTTGTATGAGCCTTGATTAGTTAAAGCTGAACTGTGTTTGTGGAACGACTTGAGGCTATGTTTAAAGATGGCGCTAGTTTGAGTCTGACTTTTTCTTTCATGGAATACCCCCCAGCATCGGAACTGTGCCTCTATTTATTTTCAAGGTTTGCTTAAAAAAAAAAAAAAAAAATCAGGAGGAGCATTGCCTTATTCTTAATAAGGAAAGAATATTGATTAAGCTTTAAGAGCTCTTGCATTTTAAGTAGAACAGATAGAAGATAACATTATTAACTTAAACTAATAGTCCTAGTGAGCAAAACAGTTACACATTTTTATGGTTGAATTAAACTATCACCCATTTCAATATATAAATATATAAAGATGCAGGCGAGAAGGCCTGATCATGGTCCTTTGGGGCCCCTGGACATCACCTGCCTTTTGGAAGACCCCTGTCATGGAGGAGGGACTTAGCGGTCAACTCTATTTATGCGGCCGGCTTGTATGTGAGGCTCATAGTGTTTTGCTTACATTATGAATGTTGTGACTCTCTGCCACTAGTGTTCTGAGGGCCCCTCCAGCCCGATGTCTCTCTGGCTTGACCTGTAATCTATCTGTGACTGGTGTGTCAGATTTCCATAATGTACGATGGCAAGTGAAGGCTCATTCGTATTCATAAAGGAAGCACTACATCATTGGTTGCTTTCACCTAGATTAACATTGCTTTTTATTTTCTTAGTTAGCTACCTCAGAGTCTTGACCATAGTGCAGTGATCATCATCGGTCAGTCAGGTAGTACTTCACATGCCGGGGCATAGCACAGGAGAGACGGTTCACATACCGGCTTCAACAAAGCAGTGCCTCATTAACAAAACACAAAGGGAGAAACCGAAAACAAAGGTCCACATATGGTCAAAACTAAACTAAGGCAGGAAGCAACACTGGGAACAACCAGTAGGAAGGAACCCATGAATCTACAATAACTAACATGGGGTAACTACAACTAATAATCACACAGGGAAACAGAAATACTGAACACTGAAACAGAACAAGAGCAGGCATTTAAGTACACTACTAACAAGACACAACGCGGGGCAGGTGAGAACCATAACCAAATCAACCAATCACAAGGAGTCAGTCCAATAACAAGGGACATGTGAGATGTTTTTCAATTAACAGTCGCTAAAGACTTGGAAACATTAAAAAATAATCAGGGCTAGCTATACATGGAGAGACTAGGAACACAAGTAAAACAGAACATAATTAACCAAGGCACGGGCAGGGTAACCATAAACAAGGACATAAAATCAAAGACATAAATTACCCATATCAGAAACTAGGGGAGATAATAAAGCCAAAATAATAAACAAAAGATGAGAGTGGGCTCAGGCCAGCCTTGAATTCATGATGGAAAGATGTCAGCCTCTAGGGCACACACTCAGCCCATTGAGCCAGGGGAGCAGGAAAAACACAGTAGGGCAACATTAAATGGGATGGCCAGTGTGAACCACTGGTCAAACGGGGGGACGATGGGACAGGGCCAGACAGGCACCGGTCCTGACAGTGCTCACTTTTTGAATATTAATGAACCTCCCCTGCCATCCCACATTCCAGAAATCTTACGCCAGCGCTGCTACTTGGCGCATCTATGCAACGGCACCATTCATCAAGATTCATTGATGCATCTTTACACCCCTAGTTTGAAACCGTTAAATCACCCCCAGTGATGTGATTTTCACTAAAACAAGACATATATTTTTTTTATTATTTTTTTTACAGTGGAATTCCTACAAACTAACACTTGTCTACCTTTTGCGCATTTAAAACCTCCTGCCATTCTGTGTTTTGAATATTATTGTGTTCTTGAGTTACTTTGTGTGTTTCTGTGATATAAAACCATTTGAATTCTGTAGCAAGACTTAATCCTGCACTTGGATGTTTTGACAGGTTTGATTTGTCAGACAGAGACTCCTTCTTTGACAGTAAAACAAGAAGTTCAATAGTAAGTATTATGCTTAAATATATATTTTGGGTGAATGCTTAATTATATGCATTGTGTATGTTAGCAGATTTTATTTATCAGGATAAATGCATTCTGTATGCTGTAGTTAAAATACAAGTCCTTTTGAGACTAAAATGTTAGTGGTCACACAACCAGCTCACTTGTGCTTCCGGGTATGTTTTCTGTCATTCTGATGTAGTACAATATTTATTTGGATGTTTCTCTGAGTTATTCTTTCCAACTTCAGGTTTTTGAAGTACTGAAGCGCACAAAATGCACCAAATTCGAATACAGCATGGGTAATGTTCCCTTTGAGCACAGTCTTTGCTCGTGGCTTTCTTTGCATTGTGGATGTTATTCAACAACATTGCACACTTATGATCATAGCTAATCATAGGTGTGGCCTAATGGTTAGAGAAGTGTGCTGGTGATTTGAAGGTTGCTGGTTTTTGGATTTCTGCCTGCATTCACTCTTAAATATTCATACGTCATCTCCAATTAAAAAAAAATATATATTAGGAAAATTTAGCAGTATAATTCCATCCATCTTCCAATCCATTTATGGAGTACAGTGTGGTAGAAGAGGAGCCCTGCAGCCTTCTGTAGGCAGCATAGCATAGGCAGCACAGGAAGGGACCACTCAGGACAGAACGCCAGTCCATATACAGGGTACATATACAGTATGGGCAATTCACTGAGGTACATGTGCTTGGCTTTCAATGTAACCATTACAAACACAAGATACAGGTAAACTGCTTTACCAAACATTCTTCAGTGTTTAGGGTCAAAATTAATTTTCAAGTATCTGCAAGTCAAGTAGACTAATCTTATGTCAGAGACATTGACTAATGAGTTTTCTCTTGAGGTGGTTCTGTGGTTTTTAAAAGTTAGGATATTTCTACGTAACAAGTGTTTAAAATAACGGGATTTAAAAATTCCACACATTGCCCCCCTAAATTCATGTTATAACCTTTTATGTTTGTCACATTTGTTTCACAGGGATTACCAGCCTGCTTGCTAATGGGGTATATATGGATGCTTATCCTCTGCATGATGTAAGTATTTATCACTGGTTTTGAATTTACAGCTGTCAAGGGATAAATATATTTCCTGGTATTTGCAACAGGTGGTACATGTGCTAGACTTTACAGTGCAGGGTACCAACATTTTTAAATCTTAAGTCTTACTGTTGATCAGCTTTTATCGTCTTGGGATATCGTCTTATCTTCATTGCAGGGGGACATTGATGGAGAAAATTCTGACCCCAATGACAGAAAGGTAAGACCCATGCAGAGATTTCTGCAAGGTACCTCTTCAATCCTCTGCAGTATTAATGCATGGGCCAGTGAGATGTGAGGGTCCCACTAGAATGAACACCTCTCTCTGTTCCTGGCCAATGTTACTGCAAGCCTGACAGTTCGTTTTAGTTGTTTTAAACAATTTTATCACCCAGCCCTGGTAGTGAACCATGCTGGCACCGGTAATACAGCCTCTCCACAGACAAGGATCACTGAGTACATGTCTGGACATATGTTTACTGTCACAAAGGAAATCTCTTTAATAAGTTGCTCCTAGAGTGCTGTCTGGATTTCCTCAGCCCATGAGCACCTTGTTATATAACCCCGATGTTGAGACTAATGGGGGAGATGCTTAAACAGAACAGCTGTTGAGGAGCCTGCTGACGGAGTAGTGTGGACAAGCCAGCTCTCCATGGCCGGCCATTCACCTCCAGCCACAAGCTCTGTGCCTTGCTGTACAAAGTACGGTCTACACTCTAGACATGACTGTCATTTAATGCCATGGAGTTGTACTGCAGCAGCCTCACCAATAGGGGCATTGTAGAGCAGGGGAAAGTTAGGACAAAATTGGGACAGACCAGGATTGGTCTGGGTTGTGGGCCCAATATGATATGTTTTCATGGGACCCAATACCTCTACCGGCACCTCAGCTCACCAAAATTTGCTAATAGAATGCATATTTTCCATAACATCTTACACAATACTGGTCTGTAATGAGCCTGAAGCCTATCCCTTGAAACACAGCCTACAAGGAATGGGACAATCTGGATAAAATGCCAAGAGATACAATTTTTCTGTACAACTTAACCCCATGAACCACCATAATATCTTATTGACCTGTCTTTGGCCTGTAATCATTGATCTCAGGACCATTAGACCTGGTAATTTCATTAAATCCATTCTTCAGTCATTATAGGATATCAATGCACAGTAATGCGGTGGCGGGGTTTCTGCCATCCACTATCACCGCCTTGAATTCCCTCTGTCATTAACTTACTGGTAACCCTTATGTGTAAATGCAGCTGGGCTTTATTGACTCCTAATTCATTATGGTGCAGTTTCATGAAAAAAAACAGTATTCTTTAATGGGCTGTTACAGAAAATCCCTGGCAAAAAAAGAATGTCCTTGAGACCTTGTTAAGCAAAATTATTCTTAATTTAGTATTCTGGACAGATTATTTACTTGGCATATGACAGAATGGCCAGCCCTGTGCTAAGGCTAGATGACGACTTGTAATTGATGGCTTTCCATTAGAGGGAGTCCAAGTCTGTTGCAGGGTGGCGCCTTACTGGCCATGAATATGTTTTGATGAATATGCTATGCTGCGTGACATAATATAATATGGGGGTGATAATGGGGGTGGCATATCTGCCACAAGGAGGCAACACAAAAAGAGGGTGTTTGTGTCACAATATCAGGATGGGATGGCAGGATGGTAATTTTTTATTTTAATTTTTTAAAATAAAAATAATTTTAATTTTAATTTTTGCGGCCATACTAAAATTACAGTGATAAAAAGGAAATCATGCAGAAACAACATCTTAGCCTTGAGACTCAAAAAACACGGGGGCTAGATTTCCGTAGCCAACAGCGCCACCACTGATCAGGCAAAATTAAGAAGCCAGCAGGCCGGGTGTGAGCTGAGACGTGACTCATAAGGCCTGGCATGTTCCCTGACCCAGTATGCAAAAACACGCTTGCAGATGGAATTAGGCTGACCTCCCCTCCCCCGCCCCCCACTGTGTGCCAGATAACCTGAGACAGCAGGCCGCCGGATCACACATTCACAAAACTAGCATCGGTGCCTCCGGATTTATATGTGCATGTCTTAGTGAAGTGTGTGTGAGAATAGGCGTGAACATGCGATAATGCCTCGTTCGCTTAATTTCAGCGTTTGGACACTTAAGCAAATGAAAATTAGAACCGGTAAGAAAATACCCAGTACCGGGCACCCAAATAATTTTTTCTTTCTAATTTCCATTTCTGCTTTTCGGTTCCTAAACATTACATATCTGCCGTTACCTGCTGTAGGTGAATACGTCATGCATCAATGCGCAACAAGCTAGCATGCGTGATGACAGTGTGAAGGAACGAATGGTCAAAAGTTTAGTTTCACTTTATTAATGTAAATGACAAAAATTGACGCACATCGAATCTATTCTTAAATTTCAGGACTGCTGACATTACTTCTCCTAAATTGATGTTGTTTTGGCCAATGCCCATTTATCCTCCGCGAGTCGGCTAAGGCGGCCGCGCCTTAACTTACACAATGTTTTTAAATGCGTGATCAGAACCTTTAATATCTAATTTAAAATGCGTTATCTGTAAAATAATACAGTAAATCAGCATTTTCATTAAATACATGCAAATTACAACATGCTCCTTTATTTTTTTCTCTCAAGGCAGATTTTTTGAAGTGCGTGACAACAACCAAAATAATTTCAGACAGACTTAACAAAAATATCATTAAAACCCTTAATGTGTCTTCTGTCAAATACACCCACCCTCAACAAACGAAAACATCCACTTTTATTTGAAATCCTTAAAATTATCAGTTAGCCATTTTTTCCGTCGCCCCCAAGCGCAAACAGCTATTAATATCCCACGTGTGGAAACCTCGACAAAGAACGACAAAACTACACGTGAAATCAGCCAGGTTGTATTTGCTATTTTTACTCATTTTCCGCCGAAGAGGCTCTGCAACAACTTGTCATTTCTCAACAGCAGTGATGAAATGAACTCATCCTCTGATGAAGTTTGTGATAGCGATGAGGATTGTTTTAAGAAGAAATTGTTTTAAAGACTGGCATAAAACAAGTAGATTGTTCTTAAGCATGCTAAAATAGTTCTTGATTTCCATATTCTGTCATACTTACCATTCCAGTTGCTTTAAACAAACAGATAAACTACAAATTACATATGTTTTTGTCTTGTCTCACACTCATATTCCGCACTAGACATTGACAGGTTGATTTGTGCATGGGGAGTACCCCAGATAAATAGCAATCATATTTATGACCGCAGCTGTTTGCCCAGGTAGAGACAGTTGAACAGAAATAGTGACATAGTTAAGTTATAGCTCTCTGTTTTTTAACTGCAAGGATTTTTGTGAATGACTTGCAGGCAGGAGTTGTGCGCTGCACTCAATGCACTTTATTTAGCATTTTACTCCCATTGCTGCTGGGACATTTTGAATGTCCAGAATAAAGATATTTTTGGTTAAACACTTGTCCTCCTTTTTTTTTTTATCTTTATAGAACCGAAACAGGGAATCGATAAGCAGAACCGGAATCGAAATCGATAAAATTCAAACAATACCCCAAGTCATTACTGCGATCTTCTCTCACCTGAGAGAGGAGAGCGACCAAGACAATATGAAACACAATGACGTCTGTTATTTTATATATAAAATTACCCTTCCCTCAGGATTTATATTGTTTTTAGTTGTGAAAGTAACAGGAGTTTTTCTAAAATGTTTAAAAATTCTGATCCCCCTGCAGCTCTTGTATGAAGAGTGGGCGAGTTACAGTGTTTTCTACAAGTATCAGCCGATTAGCCTGGTCAGGTAGGGCTGCTCACATGCATGTCGTGCTGTGTTTACCGTCTGACTTCCCCCTTCTGCAGCACATGCCTTAAACTATCCCCATTGTAATTGTCTTCCAGGAAGTACTTTGGAGAGAAGATTGGTCTTTACTTCGCATGGCTGGGTGTATATACCCAGATGCTAATCCCTGCCTCCTTGGTTGGGGTCATTGTCTTCCTGTACGGCTGTGTCACGGTGAATGATGACATTCCCAGGTATCTGACATTTTTGTAAATCTCCTGGAATGATGATGAATGTTGTGATGACGGCAGTCTGACCTACTAGCAGGTTTTTCTAATGAAATCATAATGAAGTCAGTTGGGATGGTGTGTAAAATGTAAATAAACACAGAATGTAATGATTTACAAATTATTTATAAACCCATTTTTAATTGAAAACAGAACAAAGACAACATGTCCATGTTAAGACTGAGAAACGTCACTGTTATATGACTGCAAATTTTGAATTTGAATTTGATACCAGCAAATTCAAAATGAGGTTTATATCAAAATCACTGTTATTACCTTGCTGACTTGCATAGATGTATAGATAGATAGATAGATAGATAGATAGATAGATAGATAGATACTTTATTAATCTCAAAGGAAATTGAAAGAAACAAAAGCTCTGCAGCATTGAAAATCAATCCAAGCACAGCAAACTACAAAAACAACAAAAAACACTTAAACACTGATGAAAATGTGAAGCTGCTGTAAAGGCAGCCATTCCCCACAGCGCCTAAGGATTCGCTAATGCTTCTGTAAAAAAATTTATGCAATACAAAAAAACTACGATGGATGCAATGGCTTAGGCTCCATCCATGTACACAGATCTCCACAAACCAGGTATGTGTAATAAAGCAGTGATAAAGCAGCTTTCTGCCCGTGTGCTAAAAGCCTGAGTAAAAAGGGATGTGTGTGACAGCAGGGGTGATATGTGATGAGTAGCATTTGTCCTTCCTGCCAGACTTCCCTCTGGTTTTCATCCACATCAAGGTATTTTGACATAATTTGCCGTGTTTTCTACATTATGTGATCCTCAGTTCCGCCATGAGCATTAGCAGGAATCTCCTGCTGTCTGAGTTATGCTTGTACCATTTATTCCAACAGCCCCAATTCAACAATGGTATGAATACTGGGAATGAAATGGTTTTCATTTCCGCTATAAGATGGAGTATGATTCACGAATATATTTGAGGGTACTTTACACTCCATCCTTCTGTCACAGTGCAAATATTTTAGTCTGGCAAACTTCTAAATGACAGTGACAGTCTTAGTATAAGTTTAAAGATTTGAGCTTCAATATGATAATATTGGTATACAGCACCCGCACATTGGTCGTCAGCTTTAATGCCTCTTTTCTCTGTTTATGAGGATGGATATGTTGCATTGCGTTGTTTGATTGTCAGGAAAGCTTTGATCAGCTGAAGTGTTTCAGAGGTATCTCGACTGAAACTGTTTCAGTATAATTACTGAGTAGTGTAGCTTTTTAATGGATGTTATTCATATATATACCTTATATACCTTTGAAATTGTATGCTAAATTAAATGAAATGAAAAGGAAATTGAATGCTAAAATAGCCATGCTGGTTGAGATTGCCATAGATGGTGTAAGGATGGCCAGTAAGCCCCAGACCACGACACTTTCTTCTCCATGCTTGGGAATCACACATACAGCCGTCACCATCTCTACATTTTGTAAATACACAGTAGATAAATTCTCAAAATTTGATTTATCAGTCCATTACACTGACTTGCACTCCTCAGACATCTAGTATGTTTTTGCCCTAGACAAGTCTCCCCTTCTTATTGAGTGCTCTTCACAATGGCTACTTTGCAGTGATTCACCTGCTTAGGCCTGTGTCATGCTCTCTCCTGAACTGAAACATCTGTACTTCTAACAGCAGTCACATGACCTTGTATTTGTGGGTAAATTCAGTTTTTCTTAAAATCACATGTATGAATGCAGTTACTCATGGTTTCCTAACGGTATAAATGCACATACCATAACATATACAAGTGTGTAAAGTTAAAAGCATACATAATTATGGAACACCTTGTTTCATGCAGGTGTACTCAAACTTTCGATTTAGTTTAATGTGTACCTTTTTTTCCGCTGGGTGTATTTCAATGAACAGCCATATGTCTCTTCTCAGTGACTGTTCGCCTTTATCTGATTTCCATTCAGTAAAATGTCATCATGGGCTAAATGTCAAGAAACATGACGTTTTTTGAGGAACACCCTCATGTTTCCTGTGTGCCAATGTCGCCCTCCCACCAGCATGGAGATCTGTGACAAGAGGAACAACGTCACCATGTGTCCGCTCTGTGACCGCGCCTGCAGCTACTGGAATCTCGTCATGGCCTGTGGTACGGCCAGGGCCAGCCACCTCTTCGACAACCCCGCCACGGTCTTCTTCTCTGTCTTCATGGCCTTATGGGGTACGTGCACAAGCTCCCCGTTCCTGAACACATGTCACAGTCTCGTATCAACATCTTCATCCTAGTCCATCATGGTCTAACAAATTGCATTGCCAGTTCTCACTGTGTATTGTTTTTAGGCAATGTGTCTTGGCTTAAATCCATCCTTTGATGTTATTTTGAAGATTGTAGAGATCTGTGACCAGGTGTCATCTGGGACTGAGCACAGAGACCGGAAGGGGGGTTTGCCATGATAAACTTTGCGGGGGGGGGGGGGCAGTCCATCATTTATGTCACTTGTTTCGCATGATACATTTAGCATTTTTTACACTTAGTAAATGTGTTTGGGCCCGTCTATTCTGTTACTTCGTGCACAGTTCTGAATTTGGTATTTCATGACAACACGACCACATTATACACATAACGAACAAAACATGGTTAAAAATGATTTGGGTCTTTGCTGAAAACATTCTGGCTTAAACCTCAGTAGCCTGACCCTACCACCACTGCTGTCTGTAACCAGTACGATTTTGCCATTGGTTGCTTTACTCTTATTTTGGAGCAATCTCTAATAAGACCATATGAAATTTACAAAGAGAGGAGGCCATTCGGCCCATCAAGCTCATTTGGGGAGAACTTAACTAATACTGTAGCTCACTGTTGTTAAAATCTTATCTAGTTCTGATTTAAAGGACCCCAGGGTTTTAGCTTGCGCTACACTAACAGGAAGACTATTCCATAGTCTAACTACACGCTGTGTAGTCAGAGACAATCCGCCATGTTCTATCAATTGATTTGAAATGGTATAATTTTCTGGTAAAACTGAGATCCTGTTGAGCCAAAAGTGCTGCTTACTAAGCCACCATGGCTGAATACATGACATTAGTCAGATAACTTAATCTTTCCTCTGTCCCTCTGCTAACGTGTACTTTTTCACTATATTTTAAATACTTAAATGGGTTTAAGAATATAAGGTGCTTAATGGAAATGTTGCCATTTATGTATTATCTTTACCCTTGGGAAAGAGATGAAAGTTCTAATTAAGTGTAAAATTGAAAATGAACATTACAGTGAATGACTAAAATAATTGCATTTCTGTAAAGAATTGCCGTGGTCACCACACTGCTGTTTGTAGAATGACTCTCCTCCTTTGTCATCTCTCTGCTAGCACTGTGCTGACAGGCCGTGTGTATTCTCTGAGAGTGAGAGGGCAGACAGAGGCTGGCAGGGGACCCACTTCTGTTTTTCGTGCCTGTGTGCTGTTCATTGTCAGGAGACTGAAGGACTGTAGGAAGCAATCGACTTGAGCGCTGTATGGGACTGTGTGTTCACTTCCAGAGGATGATTTAATGCCCTGCATTATGAGTGTGAGTGTGTCTTGTGGATGTTATTGTGAGGAGAGATGTATGTAAAGGAAGTATTTTTAGCAAGGATTTGGACAGGCTGTTATGTCTGAGTTTAATAAAGGGTCCGAAGTGTACTTTAAAACTTGCTGGAGAGCATTCTGTTTAGAAATAGGTTTGTTCTAAAATAAATCACATTACAAAGCATTCATTGTCTGTTTGCATGGTGCACTCTCAAATCAAAGCCACCTTTTATTGTGTTTATTTGACACTAGTGCTAAAAAAGGGTAAAATGGCAGTGTTTGAATGTTTTTCTGTACATTGGTCATAATGCACTAAAAGAAGGCTTGAAATGGTTTGGAAATTCAGCATTCGCAGGAAACTGATGACACAACTGGTACAGTGAATTGACAGCTTAATTCAATTCAGTCTGGAAACAAGTATGTGGGGTGATTTGTTCCTCTGTGCCTGTGATCGGAAGGTCGCCGGTTCAAATCCCACGGATCACCGTGACGCATCACCGTGAGGCTGTTAATCCTGGAAAAATGCTTCAGTGGTGCTGGATAAATGCCTGACCCTGTCCCACCCCAAGATTCACTCTCACCTGTACATGTGTGGGTGTTTCAAAGGATTGTGAATTTGATTCTGCAGAACCTTTGAAAACTATAAATTCTAAGAGTTAGACCATTTATTTTTCTAGTTTTGACTGCAAGAAATGACAATGGCAAGAAGGGGGCAACATAATATTATAATATAATCCGTCCATCCATTTTCCAACCCGCTTATCCTACTGGGTCTCGGGGGGTCCGGATCCTATCCCAGAAGCAGTGGGCACAAGGCAGGGAACAACCCTGGACAGTGGGCCAGCCCATCACAGGGCATTATAATATAATATTAATTATAATAATAACATAATATGGAAATAAATGTACTTCTTGGTGTATTGCAGCCGCCATGTTCATGGAGCACTGGAAAAGAAGACAGATGCGACTGAATTACATATGGGATCTGACAGGCTTTGAAGACGAAGAGGTGAGAAAGAGCATGAGAGACGATGCCTTTATGCTTGTCCTTGTCTGTCATGTTGGGGATCGTGTTTACTTTCCTTTTATGAAGACCCCTCAATCCTGAGCAGCACTGTCTCCCTTGGCATTATGTCACAAGTGTGAATGGTGGCCAGTGAGAGTTATTTTTTAAGTAATACTTACTGTATGTGGAATCAGTGACAGTGAGTCCTTACATCTGCATGCACAGGAAGTTGAATGAGAGCCTTGAAGATCTTATGAATTATTTTTAGACGAGAAATACAGGAATCTGGCACCGTATTACAGACACTTCCTAACTTGCTGATCCTACCTTAACTGTTTGGTGACTATGGTAACTAAGGTTAGGACCTGATTTAGGAAAAAGGCCATTACAGATGAGCAGATCAAAGTTCCTATCCTAACTTAAGAGAGGAAAAGTGAATTACACAAGCTTCCTTACTAAAATCTTAAATAAACTCTTCTATAATAAACTTGTCTTGTCTTATCTTGTCTTTCGTTTCCATGTTTTTCATCGGGTTTTCTTGAAGGAAGCTTTAAAGGTTTGCATTACATTTTTGCATTATTTCATGTCTGTCTTGAGGCTGATTGCTTCATCCTAGCCTCTCTTTCTGCAGCTGCTCACTGCAGACTTTCTGGGATTCTTCCTCACTTCACATATTGAGTTAATGCTCTCCAGTAGCCTTTTTATGGTCTTATCTATTTCCCCCTTTTGCTTATGGCCTCATCCAAGCAGTTGAACCACTCTGTTCTACAGTACTGTGCAAAAGTTTTACAGTCAAAGGAAATGTTTAGAGCTACTTATGTGGGTAGTAAGTGTATGTTTGCTCAAAACAAAAACAAAAAAACACAATTTAACATTATAATATATGTAAATTAAGAGTAAACAATAACAAGTAATAGAAATTTATTCTGTTCACCAAAAAGTTACTAATATCTAGTTGGATGGCTAGATGAACAGCGCTTCAGTTCCCTAACCTCTCCTCAGAGGCACCTCAGCCCTTCCATTTATTTGTTAAATTTCACCACCAGCTCACTTAATTAATCAATTAAATTTGTTACAAAAAGCCAGTGAGGTACTGATTAGCCTTATGAGGTGTGCTAGTGGTCAAGCCATAAAATGCATGTGTGTTGGATGGTTGTTAAATCCTGGGGTGACTTCAGGAGAGGCTTTGAAATGGTTACGCTACCAGTTTGATAGACACAATATCATTTATAAACAGAGAGATCTTTAAGCATCATTTTTACTGCCTAAGACTTTTGCACAGTACTGTATGTCCACCATCAGTGCCAGCTGGCTGCACACTTACTATTTGTTGAGCATTTCCACAGCCTTGCACTTTGCTGGGCACGTGAAACACCAGGAGCATCACGGAACTCTCCCTCTTTCCACGCTTATGGGTTGCCCCTGCCTTTCTTTGATGGGACTGTGCTATCATTTTTTTGGTGGTTTCAGTGCACTGCTAGGAAAAAATGACAAACGATAGAGATACTTCAACAAATATGGCAGAGGGCTTCATCCACCAAAAATATGCATGGCACATCTCAATTATGTTTCTTCATGTAATGAACCAGTAACTACTCATAAAATTGCTGGGAAACCTACAGTAACGAATCATCCACAAGTTTTTTTTTTTGTTCCATGTAGCCAAATGTAATACAATGTGAGATCTATGATATAATAATTAAATATGCTAATATCTTGTGACTGGTAGAAACCGCTAGTAACCAAAGTATGTGTTTCCTCTGGTGTCTGTATTGCATGTGCGTTTTATTACATCCAGGATCATCCGCGAGCTGAGTATGAGTTTCGAGTCATGCAGAAGTCGCTAAAGAAGGATCAGAATGCACAGAAGGTATGGGGTATTCAGGGGAGGATGTTTTTGTTTTTGTTATTTATTTATTTTGCCAAAACATGATGTTCCTTTGAATACAGCATCTTCCTTGATATATGTACATGTCATGTACATAGAATATCCACATATTTTGCATCCCCAGTGCTTGGTTTAGTCCTCCTTGGTTCTTTTGTGTTCTAGTACTGGATGATTCACATAATCTGATGAATATAGCTCAGTTAATAACTGGTGGGATCTAACAGTGTATTCCCCCCAGTCACCACTGTGCTGGGTCTATTGCAGGTACAATCAAATGATCATATTTGGAGCTGCAAGATTTACTGCAGTCCATTTACCAGTGTAACCATGTTTGATTCAAAACAGCTGGCTAAGATTATTATTTGATTAGTTATATTTTTACAGCAGATTTTGATCAAGAATGAGCATTTATTCTATAATGAGCACATTGTATAATTTCATTTTCTGTTGAATATTTTCTGAAATATAATTTGATAGTGATTTTGATAAATATTTTTAAGGTATCATTTCTACTGTAACTAGATTTTTGAGGATCAACATGAAACAAGAAGTTTTCTTGTAATGAATGTTTCAGCGTAATTAGTTTTCTGTTAGTAAGAGACACCCAGCATGGGAAGTCTGTAATGGGCCATCAGAACATCAGTAAACATTTGTGCTGGAATCGACACACTAACACTAACATTATCATTTGCCATTTACGTTCTCATAGTCAGAAAAAGAAAAATTGACTTGTGAAGACAGACTTCCAGCCTACATGACCAACGTTGTCATGATGCTGTTCATGGTGAGTTTGCCACTTTGCTACACTAGCATATCTCTTTTAGTGGACTCTATTGATGAGAACTTTATTGCACTAAAATATTATACGGAGTGTTGCTTTCATGCTATGTTAATATAAACTGTGTTATGTGAGGACTTATTAGAGCCTGAGAAACTGCTGCTAATCACTGACATCATCCAGTTTGTAAGATTTTGTATGTTTTTTTTTTTTAGTTGGATTGTATGTATTGTAAAGCATCCTCAAGTGTGAGAAAGGCACTATGTAAATGAAACAATAATAATAATAATAATAATAATAATAATGTTGTTATTATTGTTATCATCTCCACCCCCTAGATTGGCGTGACCTTTGCCATCGTGTTTGGGGTGATCGTGTACAGGATATCCACCACATCGGCCCTGCACATGAGCTCTGACCCCACCACCCGCTCCAACGTGAGGGTGACAGTCAAGACCACAGCTGCAATTATTAACTTGGTGGTTATCATCATCCTGGATGAAGTGTACGGGGCTGTGGCCCGTTGGCTCACCATACTCGGTCAGTTTCACCATGCTGCTCGCACTAATCGATGTCTATATGCACATGCAGTTCAGGGATCAGCGTGCGGCATTTTGCAGTAGCCTGATGGTTGAAGCTGGCTGAGGGAAATGAAAGTATGCATACAGACTTAAAGTTAATTTCTATGATGATATTTTCACTGATAGAATGCTCCCGCTAAAGCTGATTTTAGATCATTTTCACCAATTTCACAATCAACAGAGGTACCAAAGACCGACAAGAGTTTTGAGGAGAGACTGATCTTCAAAACATTCATCCTAAAGTTTGTGAATGCCTTCACTCCCATTATCTACATCGCCTTCTTGAGAGGGAGGTATGTGTCTTTCTGTGTCACTTTTACATCTGAGCTGCACTTATAACATACTTGTGAATATCGAGAAATGTAACTGTATCAAACCATGTCTTATTTCCCTGAAGGCTTGTTGGTCGTCCTGGAAGTTACCTATATGTCTTTCAATCTTATCGGATGGAGGAGGTAAAAATGATAATGTGTGGTGAATTTTTTTATGTTATTCAGCCATTGTTTTCTCATATTAATGGTTACTTTTACAATATATGTGTAATTGTATTTAATATGAGTTCATGTTGATGATAAAACCAATATATTTTGTTTTTGAAAAGTTCTAAAAATTATTTTTAAACATTATTTATGATATTATTTTCACCAGTAGTTCTTAGTTCTGACATAATGACCGTGCTGGCGCTGTGATTGGTGTGGTGAGGTGACCCTCCCCCCTCCCCCAGTGTGCCCCCGGTGGCTGTCTGATGGAGCTCTGCATCCAGCTCAGCATCACCATGCTCGGCAAGCAGCTCATCCAGAACAATCTGTTTGAGATCGGAATCCCGTGAGTGCAGATCTCAGCCATTCAGTGTACGCACGGTCCTCAGGCTCTCCTCCACGCCAAACTCCTTCATCAGTCCCGTCGCACTTAAGCTGCCAATGCGTGCACAACAGGTGGAAATGTTCGGTCATTTTACATTATACTCATAGCAGAATTTGCTTGTAATGATTTTTAGTGCTTCTTGCCATTAGAAGGGTCCAAATATCACTGTTTTTTCCATGACATTTCTATGTTATCACCAAAATTTGTATACTCATGACACTCAAACAGCATATTAGACCCAGAATGTAAAGCCGTTGAGTGACTTGAGTCCGTAATCCCTAAGGGAGAATGTGGCCTAGATCATTTCTTCGTATCACATCTCAGAATAGAAGTTACAGGCGAAGGGTTTCCAGGAACCTCAGTAACAATCCTTTCTAGCTTAGGAACATCTGACGTCATGCTCCCCTCCCTGCAGCAAACTCAAAAAGCTGATAAGGTACATCAAGATGAAGAAGGGCGCCTTTCAGGAAGAGGAGCAGCGAGAGAAGAAACTGCAGCGCTACGAGACGGATCACTTCCTGGAGCCCTATGCTGGTCTCACCCCGGAGTACATGGAAATGAGTAAGTCATGAGGCCGGAAGCACAGCTCCCCTTGGCTTCTGGGTGATCATCCCCCAAACACACAAGTCCTCTGTCCACTATCCTCACTAGACAGCAAGATGGTTACCCTGTATTTCATTTGTTGTATTACGATTACAGCTGGAATGTTCAGTTCTTATTAGTGAAGGTAAGAGGTTTTTAGCAGATTAATTACTCTGATTTCTTTAATATACAGAGCTGTTTAAATATGAACTCAGTCATTAATAGTTATATACACATACCAGTTTTATTTGTGAAAACATGACAGGAATATTTAAAAATAGTGCTGTTGATGCTATACTAAATCATGCTTTAGTTTAATGTACCCATGAAATATTTAATCCAGCTCACAATCACAGAGTCAGTAAATAGGAGCCATATCACATTCTATATTGGTTTAAAATGGGACACAGCATTTTATTTTTCGATACGGGCCGATCGCACAATATACAGGATAGGTGCAAACTGTAATCCTCACAAATTGCATAAGACTTAATTGCCTGATTACAGTCACATGTTCCTTTTTCACAATTAAAAAAAGTTTTAAAATGAACATTCTTATTTACAGTATATACACAGGATTATCAACAATAAAGAGGAACAGTATTTACAAATCAACGTATTTTTAAATCAGTTCTTTCCAATTCCAATTCCTAACTCATAAAACAATAAGGAATATGAAAAAACATCATTGTTCCCTGACATTTTTTGACCCAACTTGAATGTTCCAGTTATAGTAACCACGTCACTTTGCCAATAATATTCAAAATATATATATTCAAAATAACCACCTAATTGGTGGGGAAAGATTCTGCAAATTGGAGTGCAATTGAGTGGAATGTATAATAAATGAATAGGTGTAGTTTCAGAGATACATGTCACAACGAGCATTCAGGTAGAAACACATTTATTACTTCCACATTTCCAGTTGATCCAACCAGTACTTCTAGAAATTGTACAGGATGGTGAGCGTGTGAGGAGTACAGATTAGATGGGAGGAGCAGGTGACAGGACTGTCCAGGGAATACACTGTCGTGTTGACAGCCCCAACTTTCTAGAAATTAAGGTGCTGTTGTTTAGTTTAACAGGTTGCATAACGAGGATGTGATAAAGCTGAACTTTAATCATCTCTGGGGATCTTTGAGACTCTCTGTAATTGCCAGCCTAGTTTTCTTCGATCTGAAATCTATAAAAACAGTATTGTGGCTTGGTAGATTAAGGTCAAGCCCACTGTGAAAGTATTTTGTTCTGTTGGTATGTCCTTTTTGAAAGGGTCAATTAACTACATCAATGGGCTTAATCTTTTGAGAGCATTTCTTTTCTCAGCTGGACACTAGAGATTTATTCAGTTTTGTCGTTTATATATATTTAGAAATATAAAGAAAGAGACTAGCATATTGAACTGAATTCACCAAGTGCACTATAAATGTCACGTAAAAGCAATTAATTGTTGTAACCTTTGCTACAAAAGGCTTTTAGCTTAATCCACTACAGCAGGTTTTGTTTTTTGATACATAATTTTGATGGTTTTTCTCTGCATTATTAAATGCCATCTAAAAGATTCAATGGAAATCAGCTTAGTATAGTACAATTTCAAAATACACGGAAGGGGTGTTTTTACAGGATGTGAAATTCCATTTCATTCTTGGAAGGCTCTTGTTGTCACTGTATAAATGCAGTACTAAGAAGGACAAGCTTGGGAAAACCACCTTTTTACACTTTGTCAGCACTCACTGGAACGCCTCAGAATTCACATTCACAGAGAACATCTTATTTTCCAGCCAAACCAGCCATCAGGCCCTTTTAATCCTGGTGTCCCTTTTGTCTTCTGTCCCACCATTTACACAGTTCCCCCGATACACCTCCCATTCCCCAAGCTAACGGTGCATTAGCCTCTGGACCGTGGTGCCTGCTGAGCCATCTGAAGTGTAGTGGCCAGCATTGAGTTTAATGTAGCACGGTAGATTGCCCCCCCCCCCCAACTTATCCTCCAAAACTAATAGTACCATTCAATCCTGCACTTTAGCTACACAAGGTCACATTGAGAACCCAACAAACGGAACTGAAGGATAAACTTCCTGCAGTGGCTGCCTCTGAAGTAGATAAAGTCTCCAGTTGTGTTTTCCACTTGACAATCTCCCTGAGAATCACTTGGTACCACTCCGATAGCCTGGATGATGGAGGTGACAGATGCCACTTCTGAACTGGCTCTCTGGGTCCCTGTTCCCTGCCTACTAAGGGCTGCCAGAGGGAGTTCCTGCATTACACTCTACCGTGTGCAGCATTGCTGCGATGTTCATTCTGCCTGCTTACGCCACACATGCATATTCCGGGACTGTGAGAGGCTGCTGCCGCGATGGAGTTGCATATGCGCTGCTTGTAAAATGTCCACAAATTCTGCAGTTAAGAGCAACTTGATACTGTAGTAGCTATGTGCATATTAGTATACTGTATACATTATGTATTCATAGAATACATTTCACCTGTCCCACTTGGCTCTCCATGAGACACACAGACACATTTAGCAGTGAGAGTGGGGGTGACACTGCAGGTTTGGACAGTGTGCTGCACCACTGGAGCAGCTGGGGTTAAGGGCCCGACATTGACATCACTCTACCAACCACAGGATTTGAACTGTGACTAATCACAGGCTCAGAATCCTGACCCACAGAGCCATTCACTGCCTGTATAAATATGCATATGATGAAAACCCTTTATTGCTGTTGCAATGCACCATGTCACTAGTCACAAGTACCAGCGAAAAGCAGGTCATCAACCCGACCATACTGTACATATACACACATCACATTATAGGGGGTAGACAGGTCAGGAAGACAGGGGATATAGGAAAAACAGAGAAAGCAGGATTACATGAGGAGAGAGGAGGAGAATAAAAAAAACAGCCCCCAGACTGTACTCCAGTAGGGAGTACAATGTAGGAACAGAAAAAACACCTCAGCAACATAAGCACATGGCACTACACCTTACAACATAAAAGTCGTGACTTGTAATGGGGAGGTGGAGGTAGTCCAGCATAGACAGACAGCCGTCCGGTCCTGCAGCCAGAGGCGCTGGTCACAGACCCGCCTGTTCACGCTGGAGGTATGAAGCGGCGAAGGCGTGGGATGGGGGGAGGGAGTCCTTGGGGTTGGGGGAGAGGAATGCAAGAGAGTCTCACTGCCTTGTTCTTCTGGGGAAGTTGTTGAGCTCAGCAGCGGCCTTGGCCAAGGCCAGTGCTGATTAGGGGGGAGCCAAAAGCAGATAGAATGGGGTTGTTTGGGCTTTCGGGCGGGAAGCTGTAATTTCGCAGCTCCTCTAATGTCCATGCTGGTCTCCGCCATCCAAAATTATTTGCAGAGCCGTGAGCTTCTCCGTGATGTTATCAAATCTGCGGTCAATAGTCACAGTGATGTTATCCAATTTGCGATCTATAGCCATAGTCTGAGCGCCAACAGCTCTGCCAAGTCCGTCAATCATCCCGGCCAGCCTAGTGGGGCTTTGAGCGGCTGTCACCGTTTTCTTCAATTTCCGATAAGCCAGGGCAATGCCTAATCCAATCAGTATAAGACCTGTAATCATGGTCCCGAATAGGTAAATATCTTCGATGTCCTCCACGGACAGAGCTGCCAGACACACGACCCTCCACTTCTCCCATCCGTCCATCGTGTAGCCAGCTGTGTACGTTCCTGCAGGACACTCAGGTTCCCCCAAACCTGGGCTTCTCGTGGAGAAGATGGTGTCAGTTGCGTTGAGAGACCAGTTGATCAAATCCATGATTTTCTTAGTTTTGAAGAGCAGGGCTGAGAGAGTCTCTCAAGTGTAGACAGTAAGACAGTAGACTGGACGAGACGAGAGGAGCAAAGCAGGGAAGATAAGGGGAGGGAGAGGGAGAGAAGTGCGTCCGCCTCCTCTGAGAGCCAAAGAGCAATTTTGTTTCAAACTGAAACTGCAAATAAAAATATTTTAATACAAATACATTTTCCTTGACACCTAGTCTCGTTTACTATAATGCTTTTATAATTCCGTTTGGTGGTTCCTCACCTCCTGACACATCTCCCCCCCCCCCCCCCCCCCCCCCCCCCGATCCCTCAGGTAATCCCTGCAGATGCACATCCTCTCTGCCTTCTGTGCACAACATTCATACAATGATATTTATGCTACGCCCTGAAAAAAGCACACAGTGACACCCAACCCCTTTTTTTTTTTTGCCTTGATTCTCCACTATTTTGTGTACCACTTAAATATGGGTGATTTTAACGGGAGTCCTTCTGTTTCCGCAGTCATCCAGTTTGGCTTTGTCACTCTGTTTGTGGCATCCTTTCCACTGGCTCCGCTCTTCGCCCTGCTAAACAACATCATCGAGATCCGTCTCGATGCCAAGAAGTTTGTGGCAGAGCTAAGAAGACCTATAGCTGCGAGAGCAAAAGACATTGGTGTGTTAAATGTTTATTATTTAGGAGTAAGTGTGTTCTGGAAAGTTAAAACCATTTTTTGACCCAGACACGGTGACCGATTGTCTGTCATCATGTTAATCAAGTAATCTGAGTCGGAATTATAAACAAGTGGCTCTTAAAGATTTGACCTTGACTAACCCAAGTCAATTTGTTTTGCGGTTCTGTACATAATGCTGGTATTTCTCCAAAATTATTTTTTAAATGTAATAGATTGTACAGTTTTCCTTTCAAAGCATTAGATTCCATTAGATTCACAATAATGTAACTATAGATTTATGGTGCTTCCCCCTTTATGCAGCACTTCTCTGGACATCTGGGTCTTTTTAGTTGTTGCCTAGTTCAAGATGCATAATTTGCATAATATTTCCATTTCCAAATAGCGATTGGGACGACCCTCCTGCAATAATAAGAAGCAAATGTGAATTTAATCCTAAATCTAGAACCGAGCACTGACGATCTCTTCTTCTTATTTAGGTATCTGGTATAATATCCTAAGAGGGATTGGCAAAGTGGCTGTTATTGTGAATGTAAGTAATCTTTTTGAACATTTGGTATGTGTGGTTCAATTACTGGTACTTCTGTAGTGACCTGTTCACAGTTTTAGTCTTCAATTAAGGCATTTAATTTTATACGTCGAAGAATGAAGATCGACATGCTGAGGAGCATTTATTGTAGGGAGATACTCAGGTTATGAATTCTCTCTCACTCTCAGACTGTAACAGAGAACAACAACATGCTCCTCTGCTCCTTTAAAGGCCTGCTGTCCTGTGACCTTGTATCAACACTCAGAGCAGACCTTTGTAAAAGTATAAATGTACAGCCATCCAAATCACCGTTTTCTTTCTTTTGTGTGGAATCTTACCAAATATTCCTCTCTCAGGCAAAGATCACACCTTATATGGTCAGCTGTGACACAGGGCTGTCAGCGGCCTCTAAGCCCCACAATGGGCACATGTCCAAATAGACCATCCTAAGATCTCAATCTGCTTTACTTAGTGACGAGTTTTGAGCAGTGGTAGGTGTTGGCCCCCCCTCTGGCTGATAGCAAAGGAACGGGGAATAGGGAAGAGACAGTTTACTAAGATTTGGAGAGTGATGTCGCCAAGGGGAGAAATTCAAACATTTTTAATCTAGGCCAGCAGGACATGGTGAAAGGACATTAAAGGGTGCTGTCTAACTGCCTGGTTCAACACAACAAAAAACACAACCAGAAAAAAGCCTGTGATTGATAGTGGGTGATAATCCCGCCCACCAGGGGTTGTGAAGCTGTATTTCTGACATTGCTGGTACGGAACTCTGTGCCAGCTAACAATCTGTGATTCAGGAGAGGCCCAGCAGCACTCGGCTTTTCCTGGAATGCTGCCAACCCACCAGATTTTACAGGCAAAAAAGCTAAATAAATGGAAACTCTATTGAGTTGTTCTGGTACTATGTGAATTTCAATCAAAAAATCCAAAGGCCATACTGTACCCTTACTTTGTATTCTTTGGATGACATTTAGTCCCACGTTCATCCAATGAACAAATGTTTGTTTGATGTTTAAGATCAGGTACCGTAATCACTGAAATGCAGTGACCACAATTCTTTAACATCCACTTTGACATTAAAATCACTACATTGGTTTGCTGTCACCCTCAGGCATTCGTGATATCATTCACATCCGACTTCATTCCCCGCCTGGTCTACCAGTACATGTACAGTCCAGATGGCTCCATGCACGGCTTTGTTAACCACACCCTTTCCTACTTCAACGTCAGTGACTTCGAAGAGGGCAAGGACCCTCTGGAGCCTATGCACTTGGGGTACAGGGTGGAGATCTGCAGGTACAGGCCCCCAAGAGCGAGTTAAATGTAAAGTTCTACTCTTTGTTATAAGTCCTGTGTGATTTTCATCATTTTGATCATAATTACGCAATGGCTAATTGCTAACAATAAACACAGATGCAGAACTACTGTAGGCACGAAATGGACAATTTAGTCCTATTGCAGTTTTTTAACTCTATAAAATTACTGTTTAGTCTTCCTGAAAGTCTCAGTTCACCGGGGTGTTTAATATGCCTTCCAATGTTTCTTCAGGTATAAAGACTACAGGGAACCTCCCTGGTCGCAGACTCCCTATGAAATTTCTAAGGAGTTCTGGGCAGTGCTAGCAGCCAGATTGGCATTTGTTATAGTTTTCCAGGTAAGACCCCTCATGTTTATATGGAGGAGAACCACCAAAGACTGCATAATGGTGTGGAAGATGTATATGTGTGTAATAAATATTAGTGTTGCTTTTTAGCACCTCAGCTGTCTTGCATATGAATAAAGCTTTAGGGTCTATTCTCCCATCAGGAACTTAAGACAAAAAGTTACCAGCTTTTGAATTAAGCATATTGTCCGCTCGTCAATGCCCACCACTCGAAACTCGAAAGAGAAGGTGCGGATATGCAAGAAGTATCAATTCTTCAAGCATCAGTGATGTTGGAAGTAAGCAAAATGTGGAACGTGGGTTATTTCATTTCAATTGTGACCCTAAATGAACATTTTTATTTTGCAAATGAAAGCATGATGGTAATCTACTACACTTATATGTGGTCATTCTCACCAACATGAGAACCTTCAACAAACATGAAATGTTAGTGTTTGAATTTTGTGCCGAGCAATTGACAGTACTTTAACACAAGTATCTTAAATAAGCTATAAATTACACGATTCATAATGATTTCTCTATCATTATTCCCAAAGGGGCACTACCCTTGCAGGTTTAAGATCTAAGAACACAAAACTATGTCATCGATTTAGAAACATGATTAAATGTTTTTTAATCTTTGAACTTTGACACCCACAATAGACAATCAATTAGTATAACCAGGTGTACGTTCATTTCTTCTTCAGTTGTTTTCTCTGGTTTTATGGGGGCAGTGCAGTGGCACATTGGTTAGCACTGTTACCTCACACCTCTGGGACCAGGATTCAAGTTGCCGCCATGGCTCCATATGCGTGGAGTTTGCATGTTGCATCTCATGTCGTCGTGGAGTTTTCCTCTGGGTTGCTTTCTCCTACATTCTAAAAATGTGCTAAGGTGAAGTTCCCTAAATTACCCATAGGTCTGCATGTGTGAGTGAGTGGCGTGTGAGTGTGCCTTTGATGGATTGGCACCCCTTCCTGGGTTGTTCCCTGCCTTGCACCCATAGCCTCCGGGATAGACTCCAGACCCCCCACGACCTTGAATAGGACAAGCGGTTACAGAAAATGGATGGATGATATGTAATGGTAATGAGTTTGTAACAATATTGTGCTTCAGAACGAATCCATCCATCCACTTTTTTTCCCTCTTCATAACAATTCTGTAAACAAGCATATATGCCTAACCAATAGATATGGTGTAAATTTTAGTATTATTAGCAGCATGGACTGAAAGTTTGGAATGCATTACTGATAAAATAATAATGCAATCGACTGCATAGTCCAAACAAGCTTACATGATATAGCATTGCCTACGATATCCTATTCTATTGGGGACCCTTGACCTAGTGTATGTACGTGTACGAAAACACGGGACAATTTCCATCCCCTATTGGTTCAAATTGGAGCGGTTCACGATCCACCCAGAAACATGCGATGAATTCACTGTCGGTCAGTTGAAGTACATCAAGATGTGGGTGTATCTGTCTGTATATGCACCGTGGCTTAGGACTGCGAGGACACACACTACTTCCTTCGAACTCAGCCTAGCTTTTTCTCCAAGGTGTGCTGACGAGGCAGATGTCACTTGAATCCTGCCTAATGGAACTATAATAGTGCTTATGTATACTTACATATTTCTATATTCAATTGTGTATTCTTATATAATTCTTATACAATTATATTAATTAACAGGAGTTTTGGATTGTAACATTTACTTCTGAATCTATAAGGAAATAGTTTTGTTTTGTTACATGTTTGGCTTTCTGAACACTACAATGTTGCATTTGGCTGGTAGAGGCGTGTGATTTAGTACAGCCATCCCGAAAAATTCAATTAAAAGTGCTTAATTCAGTGGCAGAATGCATGTGAAAGGTCATTTACATGTGGCGCCTATATTTTGGTGTTTCTCTGCCCAAAGTGAATATCTAGCCTTAGTGCACTTAAACCCCAGACTGAAGTGGGTGAGAGAATATGCTTAAGTGGAAAATGCTTCTACATTTTTCACTTACTGCTTTTTTGACTTAACATCATGCAAGAATAAGTAGTCACAAATTATACCATAAATGATCACAATCAGTTCTGAATTTGTGCAGTGAGATTGCATTATTCTTTTTTAATATACCTGGCAATAGTGTTTACAGTGATTTTGTTGTGATTTTTGTGGTGGCTAATTCTTTGCAGTCTTTACATTCTGCAGTGCATGTAATGACCAGAAAGGAACAGGACTTCTGACTAGTTGGAATAGTCTGTGGTGTAATAAATATATTTAATGGCATTTAAATTTTCAAAAATTCACTGTAAGAATTTTTCGCTAAATAAGGTGAATCAATAGTAATATTATGTTATATTATGTTATATCAAAGGTTGTACAGGTTAAAAATACCTGGATGTTCCATAGTTCTCAGAGAGGTGACTGTGTGTTTCCTGAACTGACTATTATTTTTGCCATATTTTCAGCACTGCAAGTAGAATTTCCCATTGCTCTCGGAACAAGAGGAGGTACAGAAGGATTATTGTGACTGAACAATCTTTTCTTGTTTAGAACGTGGTCATGCTGATGAGTGACGTGGTGGACTGGCTGATTCCAGACATCCCCAAGGACATCAGTGTGCAAATCCACAAGGAGAAGATCCTCATGGTGGAGCTCTTCATGAAGGAAGAGGAGGTCAAGATGCAAAATTCAGATAGCATGGCTATGCGTGCCGATAAGGACAACTGCAATAACCACAGCTCGGTGCACCGCTCAGAGTCCACCCCGAATTCACACGGAAGTGTCTTCTAGCATCCATCCACATGTCTGTGTATCTGTATGTCTTTCACTAGCCCATCGGTGTCCTTTAATGTAGACTGGACATTCCACAGAGGGAGTCTTATCCCCAAGGAAGAAGTTGGAGGAGGACCTGTAACTATCACAAAACACCATGCATTTCTTAAGTACTCCCACCACAGAGCACGACAGACGCTGTAAGCACATTTTAAACGGTTAGTGAATGTGCATTTATTTGTACTCTTTATAAAATGTCCAATACAGAGAAAAATATTTTATTACTCAACTGGTCGTTTTTTCTTTTTCAGTTCTTCTGCAGTTTGTGTGCCTCTTTTCCTGATGTGTATTTCATGCATTCTCAAACCATCCTTACAATAAAACAAATTAATTTGTTTTATATTCAGTTCATGTCAGGTTTATGTGTGTCTAAATTACAAGAAATGATTTATCTGGGAGTAATGAAAAAACAACTCCCAGACGTTTTCTCTCCCCCCCCACCCCCAATTCATCCCAAATGGCATTCCTAAGAGTGCAATTGCCCCCGACACAGCAGTGGGTGGGAGAGTTGGAGACACAGAGAGGCGTCATCACCATGCCATAGCCAGGGAGAGGATACAGTGAGGGGTCTGTCAGGTTTCACCTTTGGTCATGGGCTTCCTGTCCGCTTCTTTCATTACATCTGTGCCATCTGGAGGAACTCTTTGTGAAGAATAGGGTTGGGTCTGGAACTATTGTAGACCTCTGCGGATGCCATGCCACTCTCTATCTGTATTTCCTTGTACAAAGTTGTGTTTTTATTATTTTTTTAATATAACACCCTTTCTATGTAATACAGATGGTTAGATGTATCCACTCACACAATGTCTAATGGATAAATTTATTTGTATGTAGTGAGACTAGGAGAATGAGTTTATTAAGGAAGAGGAAATCAGCTAGCCTTGTATGTGTATATATATATATATATATATACATTTCTGTATATATCTTTTCTGTAGCATGTAGATATGTTATTTACTTAGCATTTTCAGTATACTTGAAGCTTTAACTTCAAATCACTTGTGTATTATCTGTATAGTTCTTGTAACATTCTAACTGACTATGATGGTATTAAAGCTTAAAAAATATTCAAAGTGGTGCACAGTATATATCTTTTTATAAGCTCTGTTTTGTGTTGTTTTTATGTACCCTTCCTGTAATTTCATAAATAGGATGGAATATTCATAGAGGCCTTTCGCAGTCCATCTTAGATTCAAAGTAACCGACTCGTTTCAAAACATTAGTTTAATGGGTGGATTGGCTTCCAAAAACATCATTCCAAGAGTCTATCCAGTAGCATCTTTCCAGCACTTGAAATTTCCTTGTAATATTCACAGGTATGAAGCCCTATGGCCAGGACACTAATAGAAGTCTGTGAATGAACTGGCTGGACTCACTTAATGCTTATCCTTTCTAAATGTTTGAAATTTTATTTAAAAAAATAATAACTTGCTTTGGAAATTCTGCATAATATTTATATGCATTGGCAACATATATAATGTGTGCCTGCATCATAAATGTTTTGCAGCTGGGGGGGGGGGAATCATACAGTTTTTGATTTTTGTTTTATATATATATTTTTTTTTGATCATGCTGTCTGCTATAAGGTCTTAATATGATATCACCATGCATGTAAGAATCATTATCAGTTTATTTTGGAACACTATTATAAAGACTAAGTGGAAAAAAAAGTATAAATCCTACTGAACGGAAATTAAAAAATTATAGGAGCATTATTTTCAACAATGACTTGATTCTTATAATGAAAATGTGCAGAGTGATCTTAGTCCATTCTTGATGCTTCCTATTCTGTCCAGAACATTATGCAGAGTAACATTACAATGTACTAGTATGCACAGAACTTTACATTTAATATAACCTCCATATTTACCTAACTTTTCATTTTATTTGACTTGTGTCTCTCCAGCGGACAACGAACCTGGAACACCTTATATGAACTCATTCATTCATACATTGAAAAAGTATAATTTCATAGAAATGTTATAGTTTATTTTGTATTGATACAGATTTTGTCATTATATACATCCTTTTGATGGGAAATGACCCCCAAGAATAAAAATGTAATTTAAAAGTAATTTTGGTATTTTGTTTTTATTTTAACTACGAATCTTCAACCCTTTAAATATCTTATGTAGAATAAGGTCAGAAAGGTCATCATGATTCATCATTTTAATTTACTCATGCATTGTTGTGCCGTCCATTTTTTCTGTTTAAGGCCTAACATTTTTATTTGTGGAATATTGCTCTACTTTCTTTAGTGCATTTACGTGTTTCTGTGTTTTATTAATTTTTGCTGCCAATATAGCCACATTATGAAAATTAAATTCTTGGTCCTGTCTTCTTGCCGGTATCCCAATTTTATCAAAACCAAATACAATCTTCAAGGTTTTTTTTGCCACATTGTAAAGCAGTACAGCGTTGGTGAAGGACAGATGCATTGTTGTGGAGGGCTCAGGAACTGCATCGGGAGGAAGTAGCTCTCATTTTAAATACGGAGAAACACTTGGTCATGATAATGTTCTCTCTCAGCTTGATAGCATTAACTCTTGGAAATGGAACACTGGTACAAATTAACCTAAGATGGGAATTGTACTGCGAACAACACACTCTTACTATTTCTGACAGTATTTCTTTTTCTTAATTTACATTTCCTGCTTCAGGTGTCTCTGTATCATCAGAGTAAACATGTTACATGAAGCAATATTCAGTAGAATTTGTCTACTGTTTTTAACTACACTTTTTATATATCAGTTATATGGTATGAATTTTATGATAATATTCAAAAAGTAATAAATAATAATTCTAAATTATGCAATGTCATGCCTACCAAAACAGAAATAAGATGGTACAACATCTGATAACTTACAAAGTGAGTAAAAAATAAACTGTATGAGACAAAAAAGCAAGGGCACAGGTTTGGTTTCAGCATTTTTACGGACGAAATCAGCCCCAAACCCCTTTGCCTCCCTAAACACACATGGTACTCCTACAATATCGGTATGGCCATGTCCCTACCATCCATACCCAATAAAATCATTATGAAGATATTTAATGTAAGATTTAAAAAGTCCCGGGTTAAGCCTCAAACCCACAATAGAGGAGACACTAGGTTTGCAGCCATCTACTTAGCAAATTCAGCCACACAGCAGCCTGGGGAGCAAAGGAGCGCACTAGGTACAGAACAGAATGCAAACCAAGGGAAACATCAGGAAAATAGGATGGCTAGTGACACCTGCTGGCCAAATGAGGAAATGACAGACTGAATGGGGCAAGACCAGGTCCAATCCTGACATATACGCTATATGTATAACATGATTGGGACACCTGCCCATTACACCTACAGGAACATCCCATTCTAAATCCATAGGTATCAATATGAAGTTGGTGCCCCCTTTGCAACTATAACAGCTGCCACACTTCCGGGAAGGCTTTCCAGAAGATTTTGGAGTGTGTCTGGAATTTTTGCCCATTCATCCAGATGAGCATTTGTGAGGTCTGAGCACTGAGGTTGGACATGAAGGCCTGGCTCACAAACTCCATTCTAAATCATCAGAAAGGTCTTCAATAGGGTGGAGGTCAGGGCTCTGTGTGGGCCAGTCAAGATCTTCTGCATGAAAATCACCCAACCATGTGTTTTTGGACCTTGCTTTGTACACTGGGGCACAGTCATGCAGAAACAGAAAAGGGCCTTCCCCAAACTGTTCCCACACAGTCGGAAGCATAGAATTGTCCAAAATTTCCTAGTATGCTGAAGCATTAAGAGTTCCCTTCACTGCAACTAAAGGGCCAAGCCCAACCCCTGAAAAACAACCCCATACCATTATCCCTCCTCCATCGAACTTTACAGTTGGCACAATGCAACGTTATCCTGGCATCCACCAAACCCAGATTCAACCATCAGATTGCCAGACAGAGAAGCATGATTTGTCTCTCCTCAGAACACCAGAGTCCAGTGGTGGTGTACTTTACACAGCTCCATCTGACTCTTGACATTGCACTTGGTAATATGATTCTTGCATGCAGCTGCTCAGCCATGGAAATCCATGCCATGAAGCTCAATGCCAGAGGAAGTCTGGAACTCTGCAGTTATTAAGTCAACAGAGTGTTGGCGACTTATAGCCACTATGCACCTCAGCACTCAGCGACCCCGTTCTGTTACTTTATGTGGTCTGCCACTTCATGGCTGAGTTTCCATTGTTCCTAAATGCTTCAACTTGGCAATAAAACCACTTACAGTTGACCGTGGAATATCTAGCAGGGAAGAAATTTCGCGAATTGACTTGTCACCATTTCTGTAGAATTATAACAGGAGAATCACCTAAACTGCAAGCACAAGTGTTTAATTTTATATCCCTGTGGAAATGGATCTGACAGAAACACATGAATTCAATGATTAAGAGGTGTGTCCCAATACTTTTGTCAATATGGTGTATTTCATGAACAGATATTTTCCCAACAAAGTTCTTTTATACATTCAAATCTCTGTTATGGTGTGTCTATAATGTTTGCAGCAATTATAAACATTTTGCATAATACATAGTCTACTAAAAGTCCAGTTGCAACCACATCCAGCAGCCACTAAATTCATATATGACATATAATATATATTAAAGTTTTGAAACTATCAACATTCCTACATAACAATGTGTTACATAACATATGCAAATATAGAAATTTTCAGTATGACTTCAGACGTCATGTATACAGTAATGCTGCCCTTACCCTACAGAAGGTCATTTTACATTGGTCACAGAAACATCTTTGCCAATCATAACTGTGTACTTGTCACATGAGGAACTCGGCCATTAAAACCTTTTGCTTTTGGTGTATGTGGGAGTGTAAATTGACTCCCCTTTGTCACCGACAGTGAGACTGACATTCGGTTAGCCACTGAAACATACATAAATTACATTTTTTGAAAAGGAAGCCAAGTGAATAGGAAGGGAAAAACCATTATGGTCGTATGGTTCTAATGAACGTACTGCAAGGCTGTAGTTCAGCTTACCAAGTACGTGACTGTTAATGCGTTACATTTTAAGTGGTATATATAATAAATGCATATTAGCACTATAATCACAACTAACAAACAGTAAGCCATTAATCCCAACAGCTGTACAAAATAGAATTAATAGCAATGAACAACATAGACATGAGAGTAGCACTTGCTTATTGAAATCCTTTCCATTAACATTTAGGATCGATCGAGAAATTTAAGTTAAACAGATTTTATTTAGCTGTAGAATAACCTATATAGAAAGGAATACCTTCCATTGAGCAAATATTCCTTAAGGTTAGAGCGTTATTTAAAACTCAAACATTCATTGGCAGAGCATGTAGTTTTTCCTTATATCCAACATAATATACTATGCAATAATTGTAAAATTATCTTCATAAAGATAATTGATAATTATCACATTATCAATGAAAATATAGCAGATACCAAAAAAATCCACCAAATTGAATAAACAATAAACCACTATTGGCACCACAGAGGACATCCAGTCTGTTTGTGGATGAGCCTCCCAGCTGGATCTACAGCAAGACCCTTCTCCATTTAATGGATGTTAAACCAGAAACCATTTGATTACACAGGGATACTTTAATTTGATATTGACCAAAAATTATGCAATATCTTTTTTTATTTTGAACATGTCACAAATGTCCCCTTATTGAATTATGTATAGGCAGCTGTCAGCTGAGACAAGCTGCTGTGTTTTTGCTGCAAAGTGAAAAGTGGACGGTCCTGGCTTTGTGTGCCACATCAGTCTCTGAGAGGGTCACTGACTGTTGGGCTCTGACGGTGAAGAGTGGCTTGGAAACCACCTGCTACTGTACTTACCACAAACTTTTTATGAAAAACTCCAGAAAAATACAAAATGTACAATAAACCATCAATTTACTGATTATCTATTAAACCAAAACAAATAGTGATATACAATGCAATACATAAAAAAAAAACATTTATATCACAATGATAAGACAGATGAAAGATGAACGGAATGAAAGAAAAAGTTGAGAACAGAACCAGCAGGTGGCAGCAAAGCAGTTGTGAAAAAGAGGTTGTCAGGGGAACAAAGCACTGATTGAACAGGTTGCCAGCAGATAATCCGAACGAGCAGATCAAGAAATTAAATACAAATTTAATTTGGGTTCAGAGGTGACATGACGGCCAGGAATGACATGTCCCCGCCTCCCTTTTTGGGAGACAGATACTCGGCCCACCTCCTTTTTGGCCCATGGCCTTTCCTGAGCCCGGGACGGCTGTGTCCTGGGGGCTGAGCATGGACCCACAGGGTGGAACTCAGGCCAATACCCAGAGGGTCCCACTCAAGTTCTTCTAGGAGATCATCTTCCTCTAGCCTAGTAATGGCCAGAGAATTGGCCATGGGGCTAGCAACCACTGAAGAGGCAGTTGTACAACTGGTGGCATTCAGAGCGTCTGGTGTCAGGCTGGTAACGGCCTCCGAGCAGCGACAGTAAGATGGGGGTCCGGACAACCGGCAGCAGTTTTATGGTATAGTCCAGCAGAGGTGAGACGTGTACCGGTGAGAGTTCAGGTGGCAAAATAGACCCCGCCTCCCAGGACCCCACCGCACCCCCCTCCCTATGACCCCCTCCTGGGGGGTCCCAGAAACACTCGCAAGGGCGATCTGGACCAAGCGGTCAGAAGCTGACGAGGCAGCCGCAGCCATGCAAGCAGGAACCAACGAGGCCACAGCTGCAGGCGAGCAGGCAGGAGTCGACGGGCGGCGACGGCCGAAGGGCTGCAGGTGAAAGTATATGGAAGTACATTTTAATTAATAATTTTAGTTTCTTTTTTATTGTTCGATTTATTTTATCTAGTATGCAACCAAGAAAACCTTTATGCCTTTATTTTGAAAAAGATATTTTCATTTTTATTTAACTTTGTACAATATTAAGCTGTTTTGAAAAAGGACTGTACAAATTGTAAGGATCAGGCTTCGTCCTTACAGGTTTCCCAGTACAGGGGTAAACTCTGCCAGACACAAATGATTAATTTCACTGCTTCATGCAACAAGACCATCATTAGAAGAGGAAAAAAGCAAGATTAAAA